TCAGCATATAAGCATTTTATTACTTACTAGTGTGAGGTTATTTGCCTAATAGTCGTTACCCAAGAAAGAGCTATAATCTGTTGTTTAAAGAAGCTGGTAATGGCAAGCTTAATTGGATATCCATGGTTAAAAATACCTTATTTATTATATTTGGTTTCGGCTATCAGTTTCTTATCCAAAACTATTTGAATTTGTATCACGATTAGAATATATTCATGAACAAGAATGACATTCAGATATTGCAAGCAGTCCTTTATTTAAATTAAATATTTGTGTTGAACCGTATCTTCTAAATATCAATATTGATAAATGTACTGCGCTTTCGCGCTATCGCTGTAGTTCTCATACACTCCATATTGAAGTGGGTGGTTTATCACAATGTCTAAGGAGACCAAAGAGACCAAACCTCTGTAACATTTGTTTTTATCGAAAACGAATACCATTTGATGTTAACTTGTAAAACATATAACAATCTTAAACATAAATATATTCCGGGAATATATTATGTTCATCCTACATTACATTGATTTAACACTTTGTTGTCAGCATGTCACGCTGAAAACATGAAAAAAGCTTTCAGTCTATATATTCCATACCATGAATATTAGACGCTCTTTAATGACCATTGTGGACGTATTTAAATGTACCATGGGCCAATGGCCTACAGTGCGAAATAAATAAAGAAGATAGTTACTAAGGTCTATAATACTTCTTCTAGCAATCCGTGGATAACCAGCCTTCCCCTGATTAACTATTAACTATCAAAGTGACTAAAACTTTAGTCGATTAAAAGACAAGTTGATATTCAGTTACTTACTTACTTATATTGGAGATTTAACGTGCGCTTTCCGACTGCAAGCGTATGTCGCACACGGGCCCGGCAAGGCCATTTAATGTGTTTCCGGAAACGGGAAAAGTGAGTTTGTGCAACCCAGGAGGGGGGTTTTAGGGGTTGCTTATATAGTAATTTTGAAATTTTGAGATTTGGAATGAATGCCAAGAGTGGGTGGAGGACGAACTAAGGGAGCCGTGTGTGTTGGGTGGTTGTTAGATAAGGTACTTTTGGTTCTAATAATTTATTTGGGGTTTAAATGCGACTAATTAGTCCTGTTTTAATTAGGTATATGGCCAAGGCTTTGAATTTTTCTAATTTATTATGTGGATTTAGGATTGATTCTAGTGTAAGATTTAGGGTGGTCTGTAGTGTTGTTGGGTGTGTTTGGTAGTGTGTGCAGTGAATGAGTACGTGTTCTGGTGTTCCTTGTTGTTTGCAATGTGGGCAGTTTCCTGTTGTGTGTAGATTAGTTATTTTACGGTGATTATTTAGTTTGGTGTGGCCTGTTTGTAGTTTAGTAATATTTTTGATATTCAGACGTAAACGTCTATTTTGTAGTCTAAGAGACTCATTTTAGGTATAAGCCTACAGTGTTTATTTCCCGTTATCTTACTCAGACGGGGTTAATTGACTCGGGTGTTAATTGGTCGCAGCCGACTTAATTGGCTGTCTAGCCATCTGGTCCGTATCTTGTCAAAGTGTTGCTTCAGCTACTCAGAGTTTTATTGCTGTAATACAGTTGTGTAGCTACACTGGTTTTGTATTTGCTCTGATGTAATTCATCAGTGATCCATCCTTGTTAGCGCAGATTGGGTTTATCTTATCTTTTATTGTCAACTATTAGTACAGTTAGCCGCTATTAATAAACCTGGAACCTATTACCACGTTTTCTTTATCAATTGATTCTTATTTTATGAAACCCCTGATCATTGGAGCATGGCTCCGTGACGACGTGCCTTTACACATCTATAAGTGCACTTGGCAGGATGCCAGATGTCCCCCGTGACCCCTCCGGCTCATACAAAACCTCGGAGCGGGGTCAGCATGTGTTAGTTATTCCCGGTTGCGATACACTAATAACCGTTCATTCCAAACGTACGTGTGTTCAACTGAAACCCAGCGCAGTGGTTATAATAGGCATTGATCCTGGCATTATCAACATTCCAGACCACTGACTGTGTTGTTTGTGTGATGTTTAACGCAGAACACAGGAATATTCCACCTATAGCTATTTTGATTTGTGTCATATGCTCCTGTGATTTTTTTTCTGGTGAACAATTGACTTGCCTCCGGATGTGTTTGTGACGGGTGCTACCGGTGGGACCGGATACGCTCACCGTTGTTCGGACACTTGGTACCATCAGTTTTCGATAGTGATTCATAAGCAGATGTTCATGATCTAGTCGGAATCGAACAATTGACTCTTTTCGTAGAGCCTTCTTATGGATGTGTGAATATTTGTTGAGAGAGAACGCTAGAATCATGTTATAAGTATTAATCATTACACTTAAACTGTCAACGTGAGGATTATCGTTAAAGTATTTACAGTGAAACTTGTGTTGAAGATGACATTTACTTTGTAACACACACGTTTGAAGACTTGACCATTTTAGTTTGGCCGTCAAGGCAAGATGCTCTGCCTGAAGACAGGGCACTGGAAGGGCATTCAAAATCTACAAGCATGTCATACTCGTAGATGTTTTCTCTCAAGACGAGGGATGTCAGGTCTTGAACGCGCCATTCCTGTCAGGTCACTATTTTTCTGTGTTTGAATGAGAGTCCACTTTGAAAGCACTCAACAAAGACGATTGTGTGAGGCCACCGCTCGCGTGATTGTCTGTGGTTTTTCATGGCCCGGACAGTCACATGCCCTCCAGGACGCTTTAGAAACCATATGTTCTGCTTCACAGTTATTATTCGTACACTGAAGCTGCATATAGGTTCATATCGCACCCATCGAATAACAAGAAGGGCGCTAACCGATATTACCTGGTACAGTGTTATGAATAACTTCCAGCTATATCACAGCGGGCTGTAAAAAAGTGAGCGTGGACCAGACAAAACAAGAATTGATATCGCCAAGGGACATATCATACAGGCGAATTATTTACCTATTAAGTTCTTACAAATAGAGTCATCGTTTGTGTCATTTGGTCGAATTTTTTAAGTGTTATCTACCAACCAGATGGGATGTTCGAGAATAGCTTCCCATAGTCAAAACCGTCGAAGGTTGAAAGATGTTTCTTGGTTCAAAAACAATCATCGAGTAATAAAATCGGCCATACAGTACTCGCTGATGTAGGTAGGATGCGTCGTGCATGTACTGTGTATGTGTCTAAATTCGAAGCTTTCCAGTCACATTGAACTCTAACATGACCTCTGACTTCCTTAATGACCCTTCAAATCTCAGGATATGTCGACACATTGGATACCCGTCTGGGCTATCGTTTGTTTGTTGTTCAACGCTGCACTCAGCAATATTCCAGCTATAATGACGGCGGTCTGTAAATAATCGAGTCTGGACCAGACAATACAGTGTTTGATATCATGAACATCGATCCGCGCAATTGGGATACGATGACATACATCAACCAAGACAGCGGGCCTGACCTCGCGATCCCGTTAGTCGCCTCTTACGACAAGCATGGGTTGCTGCAGACCCGTTCTACCCCGGATCTGCGCGGGCTCGTCCGACAAGAGTCTATTGAAAGTCATGCTACCGAACTTGGCTTGCTATGGCTGCCCAGTCAGCATTTTTCGTTCTATTAAAATCTAGCATTATTTGCCTGTTATCGTTTGAAATTCATTTCCATTTTATCGATCGTCGTTTAACTTTTTACCCAATTTGACCTTGTCTATATGTCACATATTTCGAATTGAAATAATTGTTTGTTGGAATTATCATTAAAAAGAACACTTCTTTAAAGGCGAGAGGTAGGCTGTCGAAATTGACCTGGGACCCATGCTTTTAAGACCACGACTTTGTAGAAACTCAGGACTATGATGCAAAACATCCATGGATCATAGTCGGATCATAGTCAGATCATAGTCACATCATAGTCAGATCATAGTCACATCATAGTCGGATCATAGTCAGATCAATGTCGGATCATTGTCACATCATAGTCGGATCATAGTCACATCATAGTCACAATGTCATCTTAGTCACATCATAGTCACATCATAGTCGGATCATAGTCAGATCATAGTCACATAACAGTAACGTCATAGTCAGATCGGGGCGGTCGGGTAGCCTAGTGGTTAAAGCGTTTGATCGTCACGCCGAAGACCCGATTCCCGACATGGGTACAATGTGTGAAGCCCATTTCTGGTGTCCCCCGCCGTGATATTGCTGGAATATTGCTAAAAGCGGCGTAAAACCAAACTCACTCACTCACTCACAGTCAGATCAAAGCCACATCATAGTCTCATCAGAGTCAGATTATAGTCACATCAGATTTACAGCATAGTCAGATCATTGTCACATCATAGGCAGATGTGAGTCAGATCATAGTCACATCATAGTCAGATTATAGTCACATCATAGCTACATCATAGTCACACCATAGTCAGATCATTGTCACATCATAGGCAGATGTGAGTCAGATCATAGTCACATCATAGGCAGATCACAGTAAACACTGTATGAGGAGACAAATGTGGCAGGGAACACTGGAATCACGTCCATGGTGTAAGTGTATACCCGTGACTCACCCGCCTAGATTATATGTGCATGATCAAGCACGTTCGAGGGTATCTAGGATATTTAAAACCCGCATCCATGGGATAAAGGTTTTAAATATCATATAAAACCCGAGGGGAAGTGTTCTATCTTACTTCTAAACCGAAACGAATTTAAAACATTTATCAACATATTTATGTTTCAAACATACTTTCCACGAACCTTAGGAAACGGGCGTAAAATATCTGTTGCTAGCGTACCGTACTTGAAAGAAAACATTCTTAAAAGCATTGTGATTAATCGCAATTTGACAAATGCAAAATAAATTTCCAGCGACAAACATTCATATGTTACAATTTAAACGGAAGTTGTTTTGATAACAAAACCTGGGATATTATAACATCCGATATAGAAAAATAGGTTGACGTCACTGGTGGTTTACAATTTTCAGTAGAGAAACGCGACATACAACGCATAACTATCTAGAAACATGACGGTTGTATTTCTGACAAACACTTTGTTAGAACATCTTCGTATATACATAGTAGAACCACATGGTGTGTACAAATGTACAGACAGTAGACAACAATGGAATACAACACGTGCAACATAATAACATCAAGCAACATTCGTTATTAGTGATTCCACTCATATTGATAATATATTTAAAGGGAATAAGCACTGCCATTTCTGTGTTGTCATCGGGCTGCAAAGTTATATGTGTTTGTTCTCGGACCTAATAAATGGCCACGAATGCTAATGCGATACTCCGCCTAGTGGGATTCCCAACATAATAGTTATTGATAAAAACCTTCTATTTACACTCGTGTAAACAAGGACGTTACACAAGCAACCACATGTATGAGGACAAGAGTTAAGGAGGGGCGGATAATGTCACTTGCAGCACATCAGGACGGACCTAGTACTATCATGATAGTTATTAATAGTAACCTTCTATTTACACCCGTGTAAACAAGGACATTACACAAGCAACCACAGGTATGAGGGCAAGAGTTAAGGAGGGGCGGATAATGTCGCCTGCAGCACACCCGGACGGACCTTGTAGCTTGATGGACAGAGACAAGAGGGCGGCCGTGTTACCGGTACATGTTGCATATGCTGCCTGGGTGCAGGTCGCTGTCAAATCCGTTTGGCTGTAAATAACAGAGAAATTGATTTATTAGTAATTAGGTCATAAGTAATGGCACTGCAAAGATATATAATGTAGGACGTGTGACTCGACACACACACACATGCAAATACAAATACATACATAAACATAATAGATTTAATACATTAACGAAATGAGAAAGAAATAACAATCAGACTTATTATGTAAGTAGGTGCCACCGGTGGGAAAGGATAAGTTTCACATGGTATCATCATTATTTGATAGTGACTTAAAAACACATGCTCAAATCATAGCCGGAGTCGTACAGTTGCCTCTTCTTTTGGCATATATTTCTTATGAATATGAACATAGATTTCTTGCTTTTATTATTGAGAAAACTAAACATGTGCACAGTCCGATGCCCCGGAAGCGCCCATAAAAACGACAACACGACACGCAGCAGGAACAGAGAGATGAACAGTTCTACAGATGAGGCAAAGCAGCATCCAAGGTTGAAAATGTAATTTTAATAAATTTGACAACTTCAGACAAACAGGTCATGATATAAATTCACTTGACTTTCAGTCGTTTGAGCTAAACATGCGTAGGCTTAGATTGTTATTTCGATTTCCCAATCTCTCCCACGTTTTAATAATTCAAAACAATGTTATAAGAAGTAGAGAGCAACAGCAATATGCGGCTTTCAAAAGAAGATAACTCGCAAATGTCTAAACTCTTGTCCTAGCGAGTTTCATAAAAAAGTGCCAGTTTGAAATTGAAAATAACTACCCATATTTGCATACAGTCTCACCTACAACCTCATCTGCTTTGTATACTACCTCACCTGCTTTATATACAACCTCACCTGCCTTGTATACAACCTCATCTACTTTATATACAACCTCACCTGCCTTGAATACAACCTCACGTACTTTATATACAACATCACCTGCTTTGTATATAAACTGACCTGCTTTGTATACAACCTCACCTACTTTATATACAACCTCGCCTGCTTTGTATACAACATCACCTGCTTTGTATATAAACTGACCTTCTTTGTATACAACCTCGTCTACTTTGTATACAACCTCACCTGCTTTGTATACAACCTCACCTGCTTTGTATACCACCTAACCTGCTTTGTATACCTTACCTGCTTTGTATACAACCTCACCTACTTTGTATACAACCTTACCTGCTTTGTATACAACCTCACCTGCTTTATATACAACCTCACCCGCTTTGTATACCTTACCTGCACTGAAAGGCAACTGATGCCACGGCGTCAGAAGGGGATGGTGTTGCTGGTTGGGTGCCTGCCACTACACACGCATCCCTGGTAGCTGATCGAGCGGAGTCCGCCACACACGTCGGGTCAACGTCTGAAGTGTACAAGTCCGAAAACAATGCATGTGACGCTGCTTCAAGCCAAACACGTTCTACATCACATCAAGTGTCATTGTTAACAACGAGAGTCGATGGCAAATTTCACCTGGCATGGCAAATGTCGTCTCGCATGGCAAATGTCACCTAGCATGCCAAATGTCTAGCATGAGAAATGTCGTCTAGCATGGCAAATGTCGTCTAGCATGGCAAATGTCGTCTAGCATGGCAAATGTCGTCTAGCATGGCAAATGTCACCTAGCATGGCCGATCGTATCGCGACTTTACCATATAATCATGCATTATATCGTGAAAATGTGCATCGTCACAGTGCGCATTGTGAATGCTTACTTTGTACATTTTGACAGATGTAGACAATGTGCTGTTTAGTCTGTTGTACAGTCGGGTAGGCCTTCTGCCACAAGGTCGGGATACAGAGCACTAGCTTTGCATAGAGGCAGTCGTACATGGCCTGAAGTTGGAGCGTGTTTCTGAAACAAATACACGCTAATTATGTACTGGAAAATATATATGGAACGCCTTTCAACGTCACTTTCCACAATGACTGAACCGCTTGAAGACACACCGATGTCTTTGATAAGAAAATGTTAAGAGGACAGACGGATATGTTGGTTATGTTTAAAAGAGGGTGTTTCACAGTTGTAATGCTCTTTCACCAACATATTACGCACGACAATTATTCTTCATCCGAAAATGGTCCAAAATATTGCAAAGACTTTAATTTCATTTGTTTTGTTTAATGTGATAACCTGTCACACACCCTGGAACTTATTGGAGCGGAATACAACGGTCTACAAACAGCAACTGAAGGACTGGGGTACCCCCATGCTTCCACACATACATATTGATTGTACCCCTTCCATCTGGAATATTGCTAATTTCGGCGTTAAACAAGAAACAAACAAACAAACTAATATTAGCGTCTTCGCCATGCTTGTGATTTTGACTCAGAGGTCCATCCATGGTACGACCCAAAACATGTAGAGGGCGTCATGGAAAATGATAAATACCAAATTCTTTAGAATAGGCCCTTATACAGCCTCAGACATATCCAGGCCAACACACCTGATCTTGGACTTTTGGATAAATCCAATGAACTCATTTATATCATTGAATTTTCTGTCCCTTTTGAAACTATTGTGATTGACAAGATTGAAGAAAAACGTGCCAAATATACGGACCTCGCTTTTGAAATGTCACGCTTGCACCCCAAGTACCAAGTTGTCCGACTCCCCATTGTTCTCGGTGCCTTTGGGTGTGGTACCTCCCAATCTGTTGACTTACATTGGGAGAGTACCCGGGTTTGCTGCCAGGAATACAGCCCATCTAGGTAATGCAGAAGGCTGCAGTGATGGGGAGTCTTCAAATTCTCCAAAAAGCTCTCGGAGGATTCGACTGGGCAGCGCTTCCTGGGGGAAGTCTGATTCCCTGTCTGGGCTACGTGTGGAGGGGGCAAGGGCCCTGAGCTGATGATGAGCCTAGCCAGGGTGACCCTCTTTGCTTCATGGATTTAATGATGATGATGATAATAATAATAAAAGTTATTACCATTTCTCTCTCCCCCCCCCCCCCCCCCCCCCCCCCCCCGGGTACCCATGCACTGTTTGCTGTGTTCTTGCGGGGATGTATATTGTAAACGTCAACACCAGAGAGTCACCAGTCTCGAACATCTGCCGATGGCAGAGTCATTTGTTGCTAAATACAAATGGTGTCTGTCTGCATATATCTGACACTGTAGATGCCCCCTTCTCATGCTCAGGTTCTTCGACTTAATGGGCTTCACTGCACTAACTGACCCCACAGATGATGGGTAGTTCCTGTTTGAGATGTGTACACCCTGCACGATGTAAATCTAGCCTTTCTGCGGACCAACAGCTTTAAAAAAACAACCATAAGCTACATAAAACCCTGAGGTGTGTTTATACAATGTGATTGGAAAGACATACTGTACCATGTGTCACACTATCGTCAATACACACAGTATGTCTATAAGCGGTTCAGGCATCATAGCAAGTGACAGTTACAACCGTTCCCAAACGCCATTCCTGTGACACACTAACACTTGTCGCGAACACCCGGTATCATTCCTGTGACACACTAACACTTGTCGCGAACACCCGGTATCATTCCTGTGACACACTCACACTTGTCGCGAACACCCGGTATCATTCCTGTGACACACTCACACTTGTCGCGAACACCCGGTATCATTCCTGTGACACACTCACACTTGTCGCGAACACCCGGTATCATTCCTGTGACACACTCACACTTGTCGCGAACACCCGGTATCATTACTGTGACACACTCACACTTGTCGCGAACACCCGGTATCATTCCTGTGACACACTCACACTTGTCGCGAACACCCGGTATCATTCCTGTGACACACTCACACTTGTCGCGAACACCCGGTATCATTCCTGTGACACAGTAACACTTGTCGCGAACACCCGGTATCATTCCTGTGACACAGTAACACTTGTCGCGAACACCCGGTATCATTCCTGTGACACACTTACATTTGTCGCGAACACCCGGTATCATTCCTGTGACACACTAACACTTGTTGCGAACACCCGGTATCATTCCTCGTTTTCAGTGATCCATTCTTACAACGTTTCTCTACAATTTTGCCGCTTGCACCCAGTGGAATGTGTTTGGGCAGATAATCCAGATTGATTGTTGCCTGGTCCCTCCACCATCCGTTAAGACACACGCCCCAAATCGACTCAAACTTTATCTCCGCTCTAAAATCATGCATTCGCTCCAAGATAGAACACTAAAAAATGATTGAGGTTTGTCTATTTGTACGCCACAAATAGTAAAACCTGGTGGTCAGGCCGTACTTATAAAATGAATACATGTTCCTCTATTTTGTACTGAATGAACACACAATTCTGGACATGACGCTCATCAGATAAATGGAAATACTACACACCAAAGGGTCATGCTCTAACTTCACGTTCAGAAAGCAACATTTAGAGAGATGCCAGCTCGCTACTACTAATACTAGTTCTACAACAACTACCACCACCACTACTACAACTACTTCTTCTACTACTACTACTTCTACTACTACTACCACTACTACTTCTCCTCCTCCTCCTCCTACTACTACAATACTACTACTTCTTATTCTACTACTACTACTACTACAATCACTATTACGACCACTACGACCACTACTACTACTACTACTTTTACTTCTACTACTACAACTACTTCTTCTACTACTACTTCTACTACTACTACTAATGCTACTACTTCTTCTTCTTATCCTACTACTACTTCTACTACTACTACTACTACTACTACTAATTCTTCTTCTACTACTACTACTACGACCACTACGACCACTACTACTACTACTTTTAGTTCTACTACTACTTTTACTTCTACTACTACAACTTCTTCTTCTACTACTTCTTCTGCAACTACTACTGCTACTACTTCTACTACTACTGACCGCCTCCGTGGTCTAGTGGTAGAGCGTCCGCCCGGAGAGCGGAAGGTCCGGGGTTCGATCCCCGGCCGCGTCATACCAAAAGACGTTAAAAGATGGTACTTGTTGTTACCCTGTCCGTCGCTCGGCATTAAAGGGCTAAAACACTAGCACTATAAATCGGCATCAGTCCGGACTAGTACAAGCAGCCAATCATACACATACACGTGCATGCACGTCGCTATATAAGCGCAATAATCTTGGACGCAACGTTAAACCCAATTTCACATCACCTCACCTCTACTACTACTACAACTTCTTCTTCTGCTACATCTACTACTACTACTACTACAACTACTTCTTCTACTACTGCAACTAATTCTTCTACTTCTACTTCTACAATCACTACTACATCTACTACTACTACAACTGCTTCTTCTACTACTTCTACAACTAATTCTTCTACTTCTACTACTACAATCACTACTACCACCACTACGACAACTACTACTACTACTACTACTACTACTACCCCTCCCCAACTGTATAAACGTTTAACTGTGATACAAAGATTATACGACGAACGCTGTTGGACAGATGACTCCAGAGTTTTCGAACACAAGACTGCCGACATCGAGAAGTGTGGACGGGTCCGTCAGGAGACCGGAGAGCGTTGTATCTGTGACGGTGGACTGCAGGCACGTGACTGCGTCTGTCGCAACGTTGGGGCAAAACGTCGACACGTCCGCCTGTCCGCTTGCAAACCCAGGTAGAGCTGTAATAACGTCAAGCAATGTGACAGCAGACCTAAACTTCATAAAAGCCCACTACCCCGACATAATCTAATCCACATAGGATCAGAGACCCTTAATATAAAATAAAATATGTTGAAAACAGAAGTATTATTTTATTGATATATTTTTTTACATTCAGAGTCATCAACACGCTTGTTGTGCCAGCACCAATTATCAACGCAAGCGAATGTTGTGTCCTACAATATTCACAAATTCCTCAACAGAGAGTGTGTTGTGACTCCAGGCTACACCAAGGTTGTGCAATCTTTTCTTTCTCTGCTTTATTGATTTTTTGATTAGGTTCGAGGGAAAATTAGAAGTAACGAGAAAAAAAATCGAAATCTTGATTCTTTATAAGTAAACTTGAAATACCGAGAAAATAATCGCAGACACGAGGCAAAACTCGAAGTAACTAAAAATTATGCTAATAAATTGACACCATTTGGTGTTGGTATAATCTGGCAAATAATGCAAGGAAACCACGGTTTGGAGTGAAATGTTGACATGTAAGAAAACAATACACCTTTCTCACGCGGCGGCCATTGAAAGCGAGAACAAGGCTCGATATACACGATCTACTTCCGGGTTCGCCATCTGCTACAAATATGTTACACGGACAATCGCTACCGCAGTTCACTAGGAGTCCGAAGGCTTTGCCAATATTAAAGTCGTCCGATATAATATATATGTGTGGGTCGCCTAGTTTCGGACTCCACGAGATATGTATAAGAAAGGATATAGTATTGTTTGTTGAATTGTATGTTGTACACCTAGCTTTATATTGGACATTAGAATCATTGATCAACTAAAGGAGATCGTCATCGTATTATTTTGTCTCAAATATACTGAACCAAATTAAAAACTTCACAATCCTAAAATTTTAACATTTTGACCAGTTATCATTGTGGGCCCTTATTGTGTATTTAAACAGTAACGGCCACGTATTGTCTTCAGATAACACCCGTTTTGTGCAGGTGAATCGATCAAAATCATGTGCACAGCACTATAGTGACAAAAGTGTTTTTTCACGTGCAACTGGTCACGTGGCCATAATACCGCACGTGTTTTCAGCCAAACTTGTTAGCAGTCATTGACAAAAAACAGAAAAACACAAGAAAACAAAAGTCTTTACGGCCATTTGTCATGCCACGCCTTTCAAGTGTTTAACGTGAACTTTCCATCGGCATGTGGCAGACGGGAACGTCCGTAGCTAAAGTCGCAAGGACGATGGGTTGTAGGCGACGGACTGTTTATGATTTACAGACGCGTCTACAGCAAACGGGTACCACCGCTGATCGCCCTCGGCAAGGTCGACCACGTGTGACGTCACATGCAGAGGATCGTCAGATGGTCTTACGTCACCTCCGTAACCGAATTTTGACGGCTACATCAACCAGAAATGAACTGTTTAGGGGTAGACTGTGTGCGCAAACTGTTCGAAACCGTTTGAGAACTGCTCACCTTCAAGCACGACGGCCATACTGCGGGCTGATTCTGACTCAATTACACAGACGCCAACGTCAATTGTGGGCACAGCGACACTTACGATGGTCTTAGAGGAATTGGAATCAAGTCGTCTTCAGTGATGAATCCCGATTTAATCTTCGATTTGCTGATGGTAGGGCGAGGGTGTGGAGGCGCCGTCATGAAAGTTACGCCCAGTGTTGTGTACAGGAAGTTGACAGATTTCGAGGCGGAAGTGTCATGGTGTGGGGTGCTTTCTGTGGCAATGCACGTTCTAGGCTTCTTGTCATCCGTGGCAACCTTAACGCTGCTGCTTACCGCGACCAGGTACTGGCACCAGAACTTCTGCCTTTTATTGCAGCGCATGGACCCGGTTTGATCTTCCAACACGACAATGCCAGACACCACACAGCAATTTTGACAAGGACTTTCCTTCAGAATGCGGGAGTCAACGTCATGGACTGGCCGTCAAGGTCTCCGGACCTCAATCCTATCGAACACGTCTGGGATGCTCTTGGCAGAAGTCTGCGCACTCACCAGAACCAACCACAGAATTTGCAAGCTCTTGGCACCATTTTGCAGCAACAATGCTGTCGTCTTCCCAATCTTGTGTTCACACGCATCACAAGGTTCATGCGGAGGCATTGTGTGGCAGTTGTCAACGCACATGGTGGCCATACACGCTACTGAACTTGTGTGCCATCAGATTCTCGTGCTTGGGACTTATGATTTAAACTGTTGATGTTATTACCGAATACCGTTGGTGCTTGGAACAAATTATGGTTACCACCGTTAATTAAAATCCTTCTTTGGACATTAATGATTAAAAATTACCTTCTCTGATACACTCATCTCAGTGATTTTCCACTTTTGTCACCGAGTGTTGATATATTTGATATCAAAGACACATGGGTGTGATTGTATGTATCATCCAATATCATTCTTCCAACTTTTTCAGTCGGTAGGTATTAAAAGAAGTGTCTTAAGTGTAAAAAGTACTGCTCACAGCTTCAGTGAAAGATCACCATTAGTGATGTCATTTGATTGTGACGTCAAACTGAGACGGGTCAATCTCTATTTATAGTTTTCTGAAAGACTTATCAGCTTTTGGCTTAAATCAAATAACCCAAGTTTGCCCCATTTGTTATCACAAGTAATATTTTTTTTTTTGTAAAGCTGATAGCTGTATTAAGCTACGAATATACCAATAGCTGGCTGCGTTGTAAACACACAGAACTCTCTATCTAACTGCCGTGTTTCATTCACCCCAACATTTTTTTTTTATAGAGACTGGATCTTAGCAAAAAGCAACCGAAGACAATTTGGATGAAACTTGGCGTAGTACAGTTGAACAGGTTCTAAAGGATTTTACTACAAATATTTTAAGCAAAACACTTTTTGCTACCTTAATCAGTATCGTACCCACTACCAAATTCTAGAACATCAGACCCTAGCCTTCCTACTGAGACCGGAACAATACTCCTAGAGAGTGATTGAGTGAGTTTGGTTTAACGCCGCTTTTAACATTATTCCAGTTATATCACGACGTGTCAGCTTAATGTGGGAGGAAAGCCCCAAGTGATGCAGGTCTCAGACGTTTACGACTTCGGTGAAACTCACGAGCACGGGTATGGTGCTGACAAACCTAGAAACATAATCGGGGCGAACCCACAATCATATGTTTCTGGCGTGCCCAAGGGACGCAACTCTGCACAGCGAATTGCGGCGCCTTAGACGACTGGGCCACCCGTGCCCCCTGCTCCTAGAGAAGATCGCTTATGTAAATTATATAACTCACCAGGCACTAAAGCTGGATTTCACTATATATTTCGTTGCAGAGGTTTTAGAAAACAAAGAATAACATTTATTGACAGTAAAGGCCTAAAATACCCAATCATCTCGAGCTAAAACGCCTCATGAGTAATCCCAAAAGTAAAGATTTAAAAGAACTTTCCTAACAGCTATTCATACAGAATTAGGTAAGCATTCATATATACAGTATATCATCTAAAGTCGCTTTACCTAATTGTGTATATCCAGAGTTATACATAAATGTATACAGCCTGTCATCTTGATTCATCGATTCACTTTCTCATTTTACATATCAGGTATTGCTCATAACCACCGATAGTGGTTAAAAGAGAAATATAAAATCTGAAATCTGAAAGCAGTGTGTACTCACTCACTCGATCACCCACTACATACCTAGGAACATGACCAGCAGGGCTGTTGTGAAGATGGCCATGGTTAAAACTATGTTGCCAACTCGATCAGCTTAAAGTCGGAACTTAGGACATTCAACTGTAACAGTTCGCCAGTCCAATGATTTATATAGATTCGCGGCCATGACGCGTGGCGAACGTGAGTTGGTCACACATTTCTCTGCCTGTTTGGTTTCTATACCGCAATATAGACAATACGTAACCGTTGGGAAATATGTGAAGCATACTACTCACACTCTTTATATTCTTTATATTCGGATATCGTATACCTCGCTTTGTGTGTATCTTTGTCCTTTGATAGTTTGATGTCAGTCAGCGAACAAGGGGCATTCAGCCTGCATGGCCTACTAGCGTGCTGGGTCACACAGAGTCGGCCACGATACAGCCCCTCCTTGGTGGGTACCAATATAGTGGGTCACGTACAGGTAGTAGAACTGTCTGGTGACATTCACTATGCAGGACCCCACTGTCCCTTGTGAATTCAGCGTCAGAATGTCCTCAGTATCTCAAACCCGTCTCAAGAGCCGACTAGTGGTCAGACACTTAAACGACTGCGTATCACTGAAGGCGAGGGACGGTGCCAGTCTGTGTTGAGAAATGTAAACACCAAAGACTGGAGCTTCGGGAATCTTGCTCGACATGACGGGACATTTAAAGTCAACCCTCTTGTGATACGGTCTTGTGGAAAGTGAATCTTCATATGTTATATATGCACAGATCTAAACACGGAACGGGTGAGGCAGCCTCACTGGTCTCCGTCTATTCTAGTTCAGGTTGATAAATCAGTGGAAGAAAATTGACTGTTAGATTAAAGGACTGCAGCATACCATGATGTCACACACACTGGAACTGGTAACCACAAACTACCAATAGAAACAGGCCGATGGGAAACTATACCACGAGAACAAAGGATATGTATATTGTGTGACTAACAAGTAATTGGTGACGAGTTCCACTATTAATTCAGCTGTAATTCACTTTTAACCCTCTTGGTGCCACGGGAACATATATGGTCCCTCACTTTTCACACCCGTATAGTGCCAAGGGACCATATATGGTCCCGGGAAAATGCCCTTTTTAAACCGTGAATTTAGATATCAAACACTGAGTGCACAAAGTCAAAATTATAACCATCATCACCCCAATCATCTCAGCTTTAACATCGTGCAACTTATACTTTATACAATTCTATGGATTACGAAATATGGAGAGATTAGTAAAGTGGCTGCCGCGCTTCTCGGCCTTTCTCTGCCATGTTTGAACACCAAGCGAATGACGGCGAATTTTGATTATGCACCCATGTCTCATACACGTAAATATTTTCAGACAAAATCTTTCTTCATGAGAAATAATATGACCAGAGTGGTCAGAAAAACATGTTTCTCACAACTGTATACTTAATATACGTAAATAAATTTATGTTCACTCCTTTACGAACAAGTTTATTTACACGTTTTGTGCGAGTTCATTGGAGTATGAACCTTCATAGAGTGAGGGCCAAACTGTATGAACGTCGGAGCCTATTGTTTATTTATTTTTTATTTCGTTTTTCTCGTAATTCAAGTGGCTAAAATGGTTAAATGGGAACTAATATATATATATATTTTTTCGGTTCATTATTTTTCAATATTATGCACAAGAATGCAGTTTATTGGGGATATTATATTGGCGCTGAACACATCGAAATGTCGCCAGTGTTAGGGTAGGCTACCCCGAACTCTATCCTTAGCCTTTGGATCCCCTTTACGATCAATCACCCCTTTACGATCATTAGGGTTAGGTACCCGTTTAGTGGCTATTATAGATTTCATAGCGGCTCATAATATTCTTCACACAAAAACGTCGAGTAAAAAGACTGAAATGGTTTTGTGTCAAATATTTTGGCTACTGGAAACTGTCCTGAGACATTCACACAAGCCACTTTCACCGGCTACATTTTTTCACTACTGATTTTCAGAGCTGTTTTCAGTTCGCGCCATATCGGCTCATTCCTCATCACTCGGTATCTTGTAGATTACGGAATTGGACGAGTGTGCCAAATGGCATCGGGATCATTCTTAAGTGTCCGTAGACTAAAGTCACGAGACACCATGCCTACCCGTTACCTTCAGAAGTGTCCGTCACCTATTCGACCCTTTTCGTTCAGTTCCGCAACGTCGTAGGCATGACTAGGTAAATTTGCACTTTGTTTCACAGCGTGGACGTAGCTCAGTCGGTTAGCTGTCGGGCTTACAATGCGAAGGTCGCGAGTTCGCGTCCGAGGGATTCTCACACAAACTGGTTGCTTATCTTTGAGACATGTGACCTACGGCAGAGATCGTCGTCACGAGAAGTTGTGGTACTGTATTCTAAAGGTGCTCCCAGGGAACTAATGTTTGAATCTGGCGGTAACTGACCATGTCATTTGAAACAGCCGCCTTCTCCCGGTTCGTTCCAGTCTGACTGCTGCACTTCTTCTCGCCCCTTGCCTTGATTGGCAGGTCTTATGAACATTGTTTTGTTCCTATTCTCCGTTGATTGGCTACTGATATTGTAGGCGTGTCAAGTTATGCGCATAAATTAAACAATCACCTGATTCATGTCACGCCACAGTATGTATTCCAACACCTGGAATGTTTATCAATGTCGTAATTTTTGTCGGCTTTGATATATACACCTGTTTGGGGTTAAACTATTGTCGATAAAACATGTTTTCGTTGTCGAATTTATAGGCATTTATAAGCATTGACTGTGTATTCATAAACGCTGATTCATACAGTTTCCACATCGTTTTTTTTCGATTTCATACCATAATGAACCGAATAAAATGCACAGTCAATCCTTAAATATATATCCTTATATAAGCAAGTGATTTCATCAGGTGTATAAGTATTAAATATAGACAAAAACAGAGTCAAGATATTCGTACTTGTCAAAACTCCTTTATCCACACAAGATCTTTCGCTGTTCAACGGCTCTTCAGGTGTAATGAAAACTTTAACTTACATTGTAGTCCTAGGCGACGCATAACAGTAGTATTTGTGGCGTCATAATGCCTATGATGAAATAGTGACAACAGTGGGAAAAGTAAAACGTAGTCCAGGGGTGCGTTGCAAAGCGCCAATCGCTTGCAAGCGATGTACAGCGATTCGCCTTACAACAGTGCGCTAACTTTCAGCCGCTTGCAAGCGAAACAATCGCTGGCTGAGGTCGCTTCGTTCTCAAACCAAAATGGCGGCTTACTTTGACAGCGGAACAAGAAATTCTTGACTGGATCAACGAGGAAATGAGCAAAGGCAGCCAACACCCTATCATCCTCAGCCTGCACTACATCTTCAAAGTAATCATAAATTCCATCAGCTCGTCATCGAGCCTCTTCTATTACGTTCTTCATTACGTCAAGGCAACCAAGCGCTAGTTGCGCCGCCATTTTGGAAGAGTGCGCAAGCGCTTCGAACTGTTGCAGACACCGGGATGAACGATTAATTTGCTTTCTCTAAGCGGTTCGTGGCTTGCAACGCGCCCCTAGGCGACATCCAACGTTATGCTTTTGACGCCATAAAGCATATGACGTCATAGCTAGTGATAATAGTTGGATGCATGAATACATTATGGTGTGAGTGCACAAATACTCATTCTACCATGACATTGATGCATGCTTGAATCTGATTGGTAAAAAAAGGGGTTTCCTTTTCGCTACGGAAACCCCATCAAATATATTAAGCCTTTTCACACAAAAACGTGCGTATGAATACACAGATAGCCTACATGGCTGCCGATCGATCACCCCATATAAACTGTAAAACTTATCTATATTTCCTCTAATACACGCTGGGTCTCTAATACCAGCCAGGTCTCTTATACACGCCGAGGCAAGGGCTCTCGCGAAATTAACAGACGGCATAGCGTCAAATAGAAGAAATACGGTACAGTGCCGTGCCAGCTATATTCGTACGATCCAAAATGGCCACCGTTTGTTACCATATCGACTCGCTTTTACAGAGCGTCATTTATTAATGAAAAAATTATCTACATACCTTAATACTTGGTAAGATGGCCTTTCATAGTCAGAACTTCAGATATCCGGCGTGGAATAGATTCATAAAGGCCACGAATAAAGTCTAGCTCAATGTCCTGCCAAGTGATATGGATCGCTTCAAACAGCTGATCTTGGTTAGTGATGTCGTTTACGGTGTCCTGTAGTTTTTTCTTTAGTTTTAGCCAAACATTTTCTATAACATTTAAATCCGGTGATTGTGCTGACCAATCCATCGTGTATATGGCATTGTCGGCGATGAATTGTTTCACAATTTTTTCCCTATGAACGGGCGCATTGTTGTCTTGAAATATATAGTTACTGTCTTGAAAATGTCTACAAATTACTGGCCACAAATTATTGTCCACAATTTCTATGTATTTCTGGGCATTGATGTTACCATTTCAAGCACCAAAGTCCCCACACCATGATATCTGATACTCCCCCACAACATCTCAACTTCCTGGTTCGAGGGGGACACATGCACTCGGGTCGATCGGCTTCATTTTCCTTTCTCCAAATGTATTCACGATTATTATTTCCAATAACCACCTGACTCTCATCAGTAAAGATTACATTTTTTCCAAAAATCATTGACAGTTTTTTCCCTCATACTCCGACACCACAAGACACGTTCTTTTCTGTTCACCCCCCTAACAACCATCTTTTGTTCGTGATGCGCCTGTAAAATCCTTCTCGGTGTAATTCCCTTTGAATTGTTCTTTTCGGGACAGGTTGGTCTCTCACCGAATTGAAATTACCAGTGATGTCCTTCAATGGTCTCTGTCTATTATTTTTAACGAGTCTGAACAGCGCGGTGCGATATCTGTCTGACAACTGTTTTGTCTAGCTTGTCTCGGGATGTTTTCTACCGAACCCTTTCGCTGAACTTTAGCAAAAAATACTACCCAAAGTAGACTTGGGAACCCCCAACAGGTCAGTAATCGCTTGATAACTTTCCCCCTCTTCTTTTAACTTTAACGCTATTCTTTTCACATCACCACTCAATTCCTTAGATTTTCTCCCCATGTTTGCACTGATTATCGTATGTTTTGATCAAAACAGCAGACGACACTTTGAAGGAGATCACGTGACGGTCACGTGATCAAAGTGACGTCATGTCAAATTTAACATGGTTCCGAGTATTATTGACGCTACGCGAAACATTTTTGTGCTCGTAAAATATTCGACGGTTGAAAACCGTTATGGATCGTACTAATATATCTGGCACGGCACTGTAGTTTGATATCGGATTTTTTGGGCGTTGGCTAGGCCGCAACCCTGACTGCTTCGATGATGATATTAAAAGATTTAACGAAGGCATATCTTTTGCATACAGATGAAATGTTTATGAAACTGTTCTATGGTGACCAGAATCGGAACAATTTAAGCTATTTCCTCATTGAAACAACCGACAATGAAAATAAAATATAACATTATAAAAATTGTTTGAAAACACTGTATTCATCCCATCCTGTTGTTTACAAACCTTTTTGTGATTGATATTCGTCGCTATGTCCGTCAACCACCATCGTAAGGATTTGGTAGAAGAGGTTTTGAAATTCCATCACTCAGAAAACACTTGTCCATTCGAAAATCCACGAAAACAATGTCCCTACATCATTGAAGTCAAACTTGATGAAATTCATTTCAGAACACGGACAATAAAGAAAATCATACACGGCCCACTATGTCTGGGCCACGAATGTCTCATTCCATTCACACGCTGGCTTTGGAATACATGAAATCTTGAAATTGACAGGTCACACCATGCAGATTCTGATTCTGTTCAGTCATACTCAGTTCCATTGGTAACTCGGTATCCGTCATACTCAGTTCCATTGGTACCAGCAGGCTCGATCATTCCCAGTAAATCTACAGGTTAATGTTGAACCACATCATAGATCGGGGTTGTCATCTTGCTAACGGAGCAACGGAGAATGTAAATAAAAGATTGTCAGCCATTGACAGCTGCGAGATGTGAGTAACCGTGATGTAGGTCAAGTTCTGCCACATCCGCCGTGCCCTCTTTATATCCTACACGTGATTGTCACCGTGCCCTCTTTACACCCAACACGTGGCTGTCATCGTGCCCTTTTTACACCCTACACGTGATTGTCACCGTGCCCTCTTTACACCCAACACGTGGCTGTCACCGTGCCCTTTTTACACCCTACACGTGGCTGTCGCCGTGCCCTCTTTACTCCGTCCATGTGGCTGTCACCGTGCCTTCTTTACACACTACACGTGGCTGTCACCGTGCCTTCTTTACACCCTACACGTGGCTGTCGCCGTGCCCTCTTTACTCCGTCCATGTGGCTGTCACCGTGCCTTCTTTACACACTACACGTGGCTGTCGCCGTGCCCTCTTTACTCCCTACACGTGGCTGTCACCTTGCCCTCTTTACACCCTACACGTGGCTGTCACCGTGCCCTCTTTACTCCCTACACGTGGCTGTCGCCGTGCCCTCTTTACTCCCTACACGTGGCTGTCACCGTGCCTTCTTTACACCCTACACGTGGCTGTCACCGTGCCTTCTTTACACCCTACACGTGGCTGTCACCGTGCCTTCTTTACACCCTACACGTGGCTGTCGCCGTGCCTTCTTTACACCCAACACGTGGCTGTCACCGTGCCTTCTTTACACCCTACACGTGGCTGTCACCGTGCCCTCTTTACACCCAACACGTGGCTGTCACCGTGCCCTCTTTACACCCAACACGTGGCTGTCACCGTGCCCTCTCTACACCGTACACGTGGCTGTCGCCGTGCCCTCTTTACACCCAACACGTGGCTGTCACCGTGCCCTCTTTACACCCTACACGTGGCTGTCACCGTGCCCTCTTTACACCCTACACGTGGCTGTCGCCGTGCCCTCTTTACACCCTACACGTGGCTGTCACCGTGCCCTCTTTACACCCAACACGTGGCTGTCACCGTGCCCTCTTTACACCCTACACGTGACTGTCACCGTGCCCTCTTTACACCCTACACGTGGCTGTCGCCGTGCCCTCTTTACACCCTACACGTGGCTGTCACCGTGCCCTCTTTACACCCAACACGTGGATGTCACCGTGCCCTCTTTACACCCTACACGTGGCTGTCGCCGTGCCCTCTTTACACCCTACACGTGGCTGTCACCGTGCCTTCTTTCCACCCTACACGTGGCTGTCGCCGTGCCCTCTTTACACCCAACACGTGGCTGTCGCCGTGCCCTCTTTACACTGTACACGTGGCTGTCACCGTGCCCTCTTTACACCCTCCATGTGGCTGTCACCGTGCCCTCTTTACACCCTACACGCGGCTATCACCGTGCCCTCTTTACACCCGACACGCGGCTGTCACCGCGCCCTCTTTACACCCTCCATGTGGCTGTCACCGTGCCCTCTTTACACCCTCCATGTGGCTGTCGCCGTGCCCTCTTTACACCCTACACGTGGCTGTCGCCGTGCCCTCTTTACACTGTACACGTGGCTGTCACCGTGCCCTCTTTACACCCTCCATGTGGCTCTCGCCGTGCCCTCTTTACACCCAACACGTGGCTGTCACCGTGCCCTCTTTACACCCTGCACGTGGCTGTCACCGTGCCCTCTTTACACCCTCCATATGGCTGTCACCGTGCCCTCTTTACACCCTCCATGTGGCTGTCGCCGTGCCCTCTTTACACCCTACACGTGGCTGTCGCCGTGCCCTCTTTACACTGTACACGTGGCTGTCACCGTGCCCTCTTTACACCCTCCATGTGGCTCTCGCCGTGCCCTCTTTACACCCAACACGTGGCTGTCACCGTGCCCTCTTTACACCCTGCACGTGGCTGTCACCGTGCCCTCTTTACACTCTACATGTGGCTGTCACCGTGCCTTCTTTACACCCTCCATGTGGCTGTCACCGTGCCCTCTTTACACCCTACACGTGGCTGTCACCGTGCCCTCTTTACACCCTACACGTGGCTGTCGCCGTGCCCTCTTTACACCCTACACGTGGCTGTCACCGTACCCTCTTTACACCCTACACGTGGCTGTCGCCGGGCCCTCTTTACACCCAACACGTGGCTGTCACCGTGCCCTCTTTACACCCTACACGTGGCTGTCACTGTGCCCTCTTTACACCCTACACGTGGCTATCACCGTGCCCTCTTAACACCCTACACGTGGCTGTCACCGTGCCCTCTTTACACCCTACACGTGGCTGTCGCCGTGCCCTCATTGTATCACTGTGTCCAGATTATGGTATGTCAGTATCATACCCATGCTAGTGGGTTTCGCTAAAATGGTAAACGTCTTAGACCTACATCACTTCGGGCTTCCATCGCACATTAAACACACACGCTGATGTATCTCTGGGATGCTGTTCAACGAGGCGTTAAACCGAACTCACCCACTATTGTTAAGGACCGCCCCTGTGGTCTAGTGGTAGAGCGTCCGCCTTGAGAGCGGAAGGTCCGGGGTTCGATGCCCGCCCGCGTTGTATCAAAAGATGTTAAAAATACTTGTTGTTACCCTGCCTGGCGCTCGGCATTAACGGGCTAAAACAAATCCCACTTCACCTCACTTTTGTTAAGTGAAATGTTAGTGCATTCTGGTCTAATCATATCACCTAAACGCAACCACACGTACATGCTCGTGAAAACATGGCGACTGGTATAAATGCGAAAAAAGCGTGCAGACTCATTGTTACTGAGTTTTGCAGCAACGATGGGAGCGTCTTGTCGAGGCCTTCGTTTGTCATGTCTTGTCTTGTTGGACATTGCATTGATAGTCCAGGTCCTCACGGTAAGTGGGATGCACAGTCTTAGCTGTACAGTCTGTACGTCTAACCTCATTTGTCCATGTTTTTGTTTTTTTCCGTTTGTTGTTTAACGCCGCCCTCAGCAATATGACGGCGGTCTGTAAATAATCGAGTCGGGACCAGACAACCCAGTGATTGGCATTATTTGGGATCCCAGACGATTGTGTAATCAATAAAAAGAAGACCGCTATTAGATCTACCATTGAAAAAAATGTTCCATCCCCCCCAAAAAGTATAATAAAATATACACTCACTGCGGGATAAATGACTTTGATAGGTGTTGATGAGAATAAACTGGTACTTGAATAAAAGGGGGATAACTCTTGTATCTGTCCGTTACAGTTGGCTTATTCACTCACCTTAAAAAAATACAAAACAGATTTTAGTACCAAAATAATGCAATTAATATTTTCATTAAATATGTTTTCACCTCAGTACACAATAAGAATTACTTTAATGAATGAGAAGGCATTGTTTTAAAAATAATGAAAGACGCCAAACAAAGCCCAAACAATTCACACTCCAGTGGCCTCAGAAGAGTAGTATTTTGAGTTATATCCCCTTACTTTCTTGACAACTTATTTTATAGCAGTTCATGCCTTATGCACCTCAAATGAATGGAATATGAACTCAGTATTTTGAAAATTATGCACGTAATGTACGACTTTAAGTCATACCTTCACCACACATTATTGATCTTTTTATCTACCAAACCTAATAAAATAGTTACCATGGCTCCCCTCTCACCAAACCAGTTACCACAAAGTGCAAGTTTTGAATATCAAACCGATGCGCAAATATTAAGAGTGTATTTCAAGATACTAATTTTCATGATTACTTTCTATTTTATGATAGGGGGGCGAGAGTGGTCCAGTCGTCTAAGGCGTCGCAATTCGCTGTGCAGAGTTGCGTTCCTTGTCACGCCAGAAAACTTTGGTTGTGGGTTCGAATCCCGGTCCGCCCCGATTATGTTTCTAGGTTTGTCAGCACCATACCCGTACTCGTGGGTTTCACCGAATTGGTAAACATCTGAGACCTGCATCACTTGGGGCTTTCCTCCCACATTAAGCTGACACGCCGTGATATAACTGGAATAGTGTTAAAAGCGCCGTTAACACAGCTCACTCACTCACTATGATAATTATGATAATTAACTCAAAGTGTTTCAGAGTGGTTTCAAGAGTGATAAAATAATATGCATGTTACAATTCACGTTTAACTGTAATTACTTTTTCTATACATCATATATATGTTTGTAATGTTTGGCATAACATTTCAACATATTTTTGAAGAAAATGGCAATCGATTTACAGTGCATTTATCATTCATTTACCTATTCATATGCCTGTGTTTCACAGAATCCTTCTAATGCAATGATTTGTTTGCTGTTTAACGCCGCGTTCGGCAATATTCCAGCGATATGGCGGCGGCCTCTAAATACTAAAGTCTTGACCAGACAATTCTGCGATAAACATCATGAGCATCGATCTACGCATTTGGGATCCAATGACATGCAACCGCCATGTCAGCGAGCCTGGCAGCCCAGTCCCGTTAGTGGACTCATTGGACGAGCGGGGCGGTCGGGTAGCCTAGTGGTTAAAGCGTTCGCTCGTCACGCCGAAGACCCGGGTTCGATTCCCGACATTGGTACAATGTGTGAAGCCCATTTCTGGTGTCCCCCGCCGTGATATTGCTGGAATATTGCTAAAAGCGGCGTTAAACCATACTCTCACTCACTCACTCATTGGACGAGCATTGGTTGCCGTAGATCAACTTTAACCTGGATTTGATATTACCATGACAACTTGAGATATATATTGGTAATCATCTAGTCAGCAAAATACAGTGAACGTGCATGTTGTAAATTTTGTACGTGTTTACACAGTATTCAGTTTTTGCAGAATGTCTGGATTTACATCTTTTATCATGACGTCATTTCCGTGAATCGAATATGCGCTCTCAACTTGATGACGTCATATATTGGATGACATTATATTTTAGGGGGAAGTGTCCAGTGAGTTGTTCCCCATAGATGTAACTGAGGCACACAGATAAAGGCATTGGCAGAACGATCACACCCAAAAGTGGTAGACATATGACAATCAGTATTAGGGGGAAATGGTACAGATAATGGACGCGAGGATTGCTTGAATATGCTGGAAATACCAAACTTAACCCACTTGTTCGTAAAATGGACTCGTTTGACATTTCTGAGGTCAGTTTCTGTTCAGGGAGTCATCATTAACATTTGCGTAAATAGTTTTAAAGCTTCTACAGTTTATCAACATCCTTAGAGAGGCAGTTCATAATGTTGATATATAAGAAATAGACGACTCGTGGTCGTTGTTGATCATACAATAAAACACTGTTGCGCCCCTCATGGTTTGTTCTCCCTGCAGTGTTTTATTGTACGATACATAACTCACTGGTTGTTTAATTCTTAAATACAATCACTTTTATACAATATGTACATTTGATTTATGCGATCAACAGATACCCTAACATGAAATTAATACATCCTATTAACATAGTTCATAAAAATAGTACAGACTAGTGTCACGTATCTGCTTTACCTTATATATTCGACCATCTGAAACTATATGGAATATTAACCGTTCTTTTCAGATCACCACTCCACTTCCGGGCGAGATTACTACCAGCAGCAATGGAAGCATCACTGCGGTAAGAAATGGGGAGAATTCTTCATTTTGTTTGTTTGTTTGTTTGTTGTATAACGCCGCACTCAGCAATATTCCAGTTATGATGGTGGTCTGTAATAAATCGAGTCTTGACCAGACAGTCCAGTGATTGACATCATGAGCATCGACCCACGCAATTGGGGATACGATGACATGCATCAGCCAAGTCGGCGAGCCTGACCACCCGATCCCGTTGCTCGGCTCTTTCGAAAAGCATAGTCGCCTTTTACGGCAAGCATGGGTTTCCAAAGAACTATTCTACCCCGGAACTTGGTCGTGGTCGTTGTTGATCATACAATCAAACACTGTTGCTCCCCTCATGGTTTGTTCTCCCTGCAGTGTTTTATTGTACGATAAATAACTCACACTGGTTGTTTATGTCTTAAATACAATCACTTTTATACAATATGTACATTTGGTTTATGCGATCAACAGACACCCTAACATGAAATTAATACATCCTATTAACATATAGTTAATAAAAATAGTACACAGACGTCAAAGTTTCCTTTTGTTTGCCATGACAATCTGATTGTTAATGTAGTGGTAAGTGCATATTCATTTTCTCAATTATTTATAATTAACACATCTATTTTTTTTAAACCTGCATACCTGTATTTATGATGTTATTTACTAAACATCCATATCATAATAAATTAAGTGACTTAGTATATTTAATATGTAAGTACCAAACACCCAACTTTTGCCTTTTCTATTTCGTATGACTAAAAACTGTATGTATACCTATTTATACTTATAATGGTAATAATACGGACAACGTTAAAAGGGGGAATTCCAGACAGAATATTAATAGACACAACAGGTGCGGGACCAGTTGGCATACAGTTTTGAAGTTTGTCACGAGAATGGTCAAACAAGCCTGACACCGAAACAAACAAATTTCGTATTATGTACTAACACAGCATGTACAGTTTCATAAACTTCAGTGTTAATTTTAACTAATTTGTTTCTCGTGCTCAATGCAAATGTTTTCAACCGAAATGAAAACACTTTTCTATCCCGGAATGGGCATAACTGTACGTAAAATAAATGTATTATTATACATCTAAACTACTATTTTATATCACTATTACATTATCAAATGGGTAAACTTCAATGCAAAACTTACAGGGTTTCTGCTACTCATTTATTAGACACTCCCCATCATTTTTTACCACATGCTGAATGTGTATTCGTCTCGTGCGATCCGTGTTGACACTTCATTTATACCCGTGCAAAATAATACCGAGCATGTCATATCCGGTTCGTTTTATTCTTTAAATTAAAGCCGTTATTATTTACACATCCCAAAAAATGTTGCGTGCGATCTTCCCGTTTTATTACAGTTGTATTTATCAAATGCCTTTATCTTCAAGATTGTCTCCATGGGAGGTTCTTACGTACCGACATGGAGAAATAATCATTAAATACACAAAGGCTAAACTACATGGTCATAAAGTTAAACATTCGGAAGTGTAAAAAAATATTGACTTTTTTTCATCTAATTAAAATCAATGTAAACCGTAAGAATAATTCCGCCTGGAATAACAAGTTGAGCCGATGTGAATGCCATCAGTACAAACGGCAGCCATTACAGCCGAGTCGGGAGTGTTGCTATTATTGGTTATTGAGATTGTTTATTTGTCTGATAAGTGCATATTAAAGAAGGATTGCAGCTTTACTTTCAAGCCATTTTGCAGTCGTAAAGCCTGCCCATGGCGATCCGGTAAACCCCGTGACGTCATTAGGCTGGCTAGCATTATGAGCATCGATCCACGCAATTGGGATACGATGACACGAATTAACCAAGTCAGCAAGCCTGACCACTCATCCCGTAAGTCGTCTCTTATGACTTATTCTCTACCTTGATCTTCACAGGAACTAATTAATCTCCGTGTCACGTATCTGTTTACCTGATATATTCGACTATCTGAAACTATAAGGAATATTAACCGTTCTTTTCAGATCACCACTCCACTTCCGGGCGGGAATACTACCAGCAGCAATGGAAGCATCACTGCGGTAAGAAATGGGGAGAATTCTTCATTTTGTTTGTTTGTTTGTTGTATAACGCCGCACTCGGCAATATTCCAGTTATGATGGTGGTCTGTAATTAATCGAGTCTGGACCAGACAGTCCAGTGATTGACATCATGAGCATCGACCCACGCAATTGGGGATACGATGACATGCATCAGCCAAGTCGGCGAGCCTGACCACCCGATCCCGTTTGTCGGCTCTTTCGAAAAGCATAGTCGCCTTTTACGTCAAGCATGTGTTTCCAAAGAACTATTCTACCCCGGAACTTCACGGGTGGAATTCTTCATGTGGTGACGTGGCATAGAAAACAATCTTGGGTAGGGGTGCTGTCGTGAGGGCATGTGGCTTGGGATCGGTTGATGTTGATAAATTGTGCAATTATAATTATTATGATAGTTATGAAAAGAATAATTATGCTTCAAACTGTTAGGAAAAAGTCTGCCACAAAAAACAACTAAATTGCAAGGTGCCTTATAAAAAATAATTAGTCTCAGATGTAACTTGAAGCATTTCTGGTTTTTGCAGCAGTAGCTGAAAACAATATCTCGTCTCCATACATAATTCCCGATATTCCCGATAGTTCAATGACCCCCCTCCCCCCCCGATATTTCACCGCCATATCATAGTATATTGGAAAGCTTACTTAAAAAAACACATTTCCAAAATGACATTATGTATACCTATTTATACTCATAATGGTAATAATACGGACAACGTTAAAAGGGGGAATTCCAGAAAGAATATTAATAGACACAACAGGTGCGGGACCAGTTGGCATACAGTTTTGAATTTTGTCACGAGAATGGTCAAACAAGCCTGACACCGAAACAAACAAATTTCGTATTATGTAATAACACAGCATGTACTGTTTCATAAACTTCAGTGTTAATTTTAACTAATTTGTTTCTCGTGCTCAATGCAAATGTTTTCAACCGAAATGAAAACTTTTCTATCCCGAAATGGGCATAACTGTACGTAAAATAAATGTATTATTATACATCTAAACTACTATTTTATATCACTATTACATGATCAAATGGGTAAAATTCAATGCAAAACTTACAGGGTATCTGCTACTCATATATTAGGCACTCCCCATCATTTTTTACCACATGCTGAATGTGTATTCGTCTCGTGCGATCCGTGTTGACACTTCATTTATACCCGTGCAAAATAATGCCGAGCATGTCATTTCCGGGTCGTTTTATTCTTTAAATTAAAGCCGTTATTATTTACACATCCCCAAAAAATAATGTTGCGTGCGATCTTCCCGTTATATTACAGTTGTATTTATCAGATACCTTTATCTTCAAGATTGTCTCCATGGGAGGTTCTTACGTACCGACATGGAGAAATAATCATTAAATACACAAAGGCTAAACTACATGGTCATAAAGTTAAACATTCGGAAGTGTAAAAAAATATTGACTTTTTTTCATCTAATTAAAATCAATGTAAACCGTAAGAATAATTCCGCCTGGAATAAAAAGTTGAGCCGATGTGAATGCCATCAGTACAAACGGCAGCCATTACAGCCGAGTCGGGAGTGTTGCTTTTATTGGTTATTCCGATTGTTTATTTGTCTGATAAGTGCATATTAAAGAAGGATTGCAGCTTTACTTTCAAGCCATTTTGCAGTCGTAAAGCCTGCCCATGGCGATCCGGGGAACCCCGTGACGTCATTAGGCTGGCTAGCATTATGAGCATCGATCCACGCAATTGGGATACGATGACACGAATTAACCAAGTCAGCAAGCCTGACCACTCATCCCGTAAGTCGTCTCTTATGACTTATTCTCTACCTTGATCTTCACGGGAACTAATTAATCTCCGTGTCACGTATCTGCTTTACCTGATATATTCAACAATCTGAAACTATAAGGAATATTAACCGTTCTTTTCAGATCACCACTCCACTTCCGGGCGAGATTACTACCAGCAGCAATGGAAGCATCGATGCGGTAAGAAATGGGGAGAATTCTTCATTTTGTTTGTTTGTTTGTTGTATAACGCCGCACTCGGCAATATTCCAGTTATGATAGTGGTCTGTAATTAATCGAGTCTTGACCAGACAGTCCAGTGATTGACATCATGAGCATCGACCCACGCAATTGAGGATACGATGACATGCATCAGCCAAGTCGGCGAGCCTGACCACCCGATCCCGTTGCTCGGCTCTTTCGAAAAGCATAGTCGCCTTTTACGGCAAGCATGGGTTTCCAAAGAACTATTCTAACCCAGAACTTGGTCGTGGTCGTTGTTGATCATACAATAAAACACTGTTGCTCCCCTCATGGTTTGTTCTCCCTGCAGTGTTTTATTGTACGATAAATAACTCACACTGGTTGTTTATTTCTTAAATACAATCACTTTTTTACAATATGTACATTTGATTTATGCGATCAGAAGATACCCTAACATGAAATTAATACATCCTATTAACATATAGTTAATAAAAATAGTACACAGACGTCAAAGATTCCTTTTCTGTTTGCCATGACAATCTGATTGTTAATGTAGTGGTAAGTGCATATTCATTTTCTCAATTATTTATAATTAACACATCTATTTTTTTTAAACCTGCATACCTGTATTTCTGATATTTACTAAACATCCATATCATAATAAATTAAGTGACTTAGTATATTTAATATGTAAGTACCAAACACCCAACTTTTGCTTTTTCTATTTCGTATGACTAAAAACTGTATGTATACCTATTTATACTTATAATGGTAATAATACGGACAACGTTAAAAGGGGGAATTCCAGACAGAATATTAATAAACACAACAGGTGCGGGACCAGTTGGCATACAGTTTTGAAGTTTGCACGAGAATGGTCAAACAAGCCTGACACCGAAACAAACAAGTTCCGTATTATGTACTAACACAGCATGTACAGTTTCATAAACTTCAGTGTTAATTTTAACTAATTTGTTTCTCGTGCTCAATGCAAATGTTTTCAACCGAAATGAAAACACTTTTCTATCCCGGAATGGGCATAACTGTACGTAAAATAAATGTATTATTATACATCTAAACTACTATTTTATATCACTATTACATTATCAAATGGGTAAACTTCAATGCAAAACTTACAGGGTATCTGCTACTCATTTATTAGACACTCCCCATCATTTTTTACCACATGCTGAATGTGTATTCGTCTCGTGCGATCCGTGTTGACACTTCATTTATACCCGTGCAAAATAACAGCGGGCATGTTTCCGGTTCGTTTTATTCTTTAAATTAAAGCCGTTATTATTTACACATCCCAAAAAATGTTGCGTGCGATCTTCCCGTTATATTACAGTTGTATTTATCAGATACCTTTATCTTCAAGATTGTCTCCATGGGAGGTTCTTACGTACCGACATGGAGAAATAATCATTAAATACACAAAGGCTAAACTACATGGTCATAAAGTTAAACATTCGGAAGTGTAAAAAAATATTGACTTTTTTTCATCTAATTAAAATCAATGTAAACCGTAAGAATAATTCCGCCTGGAATAAAAAGTTGAGCCGATGTGAATGAATGATCAGTACAAACGGCAGTCATTACAGTGTTGCTATTATTGGTTATTCAGATTGTCTATTTGTCGGATAAGTGCATATTAAAGAAGGATTGCAGCTTTACTTTCAACCATTTTGCAGTCGTAAAGCCTGCCAATGGCGATCCGGGGAACCCCGTGACGTCATTAGGCTGGCTAACATTATGAGCATCGATCCACGCAATTGGGATACGATGACACGAATTAACCAAGTCAGCAAGCCTGACCACTCATCCCGTAAGTCGTCTCTTATGACTTATTCTCTACCTTGATCTTCACGGGAACTAATTAATCTCCGTGTCACGTATCTGTTTACCTGATATATTCGACCATCTGAAACTATATGGGATATTAACGGTTCTTTTCAGATCACCACTCCACTTCCGGGCGGGAATACTACCAGCGGCAATGGAAGCATCACTGCGGTAAGAAATGGGGAGAATTCTTCATTTTGTTTGTTTGTTTGTTGTATAACGCCGCACTCAGCAATATTCCAGTTATGATAGTGGTCTGTAATTAATCGAGCCAAGTCGGCGAGCCTGACCACCCGGTCCGTTGGTCGGCTCTTTCGAAAAGCATAGTCGCCTTTTACGGCAAGCATGGGTTTCCAAAGAACTATTCTACCCCGGAACTTCACGGGTGGAATTCTTCATGTGGTGACGTGGCATAGAAAACAATCTTTGGTAGGGGTGCTGTCGTGAGGGCATGTGGCTTGGGGTCGGTTGATGTTGATAAATTGTGCAATTATAATAATTATGATAGTTATGAAAAAAATAATTATGCTTCAAACTGTTGGGAAAAAGTCTGCCACAAAAACAACTAAATTGCAAGGTGCCTTTTTGAAAAATAATTAGTCTCAGATTTAACTTGAAGCATATCTGGTTTTGCAGCAGTACCTGAAAACAATATCTCGTCTCCATACATAATTCCCGATAGTTCAATGACCCCCCTCCCCCCCGATATTTCACCGCCATATCATAGTATATTGGAAAGCTTACTTAAAAAAACACATTTCAAGGGAACTAATTAATCTCCGTGTCACGTATCTGTTTACCTGATATATTCGACCATCTGAAACTATATGGAATATTAACCGTTCTTTTCAGATCACCACTCCACTTCCGGGCGGGAATACTACCAGCAGCAATGGAAGCATCACTGTGGTAAGAAATGGGGAGAATTCTTCATTTTGTTTGTTTGTTTGTTGTATAACGCCGCACTCGGCAATATTCCAGTTATGATGGTGGTCTGTAATTAATCGAGTCTGGACCAGACAGTCCAGTGATTGACATCATGAGCATCGACCCACGCAATTGAGGATACGATGACATGCATCAGCCAAGTCGGCGAGCCTGACCACCCGATCCCGTTGCTCGGCTCTTTCGAAAAGCATAGTCGCCTTTTACGGCAAGCATGGGTTTCCAAAGAACTATTCTACCCCGGAACTTCACGGGTGGAATTCTTCATGTGGTGACGTGGCATAGAAAACAATCTTGGGTAGGGGTGCTGTCGTGAGGGCATGTGGCTTGGGGTCGGTTGATGTTGATAAATTGTGCAATTATAATAATTATGATAGTTATGAAAAGAATAATTATGCTTCAAACTATTGGGAAAAAGTCTGCCACAAAAATAACTAAATATTTAGTCTCAGATTTAACTTGAAGCATATCTGGTTTTGCAGCAGTACCTGAATACAATATCTCGTCTCCATACATAATTCCCGATATTCCCGATAGTTCAATGACACCCCCCTTACTTAAGAAAACACCTTTCCAAAATGACATTTTAGTTTTTTTCTCCTGTATATCACAATGACGAGGTGATATAATTTGCTGTGCTCATATTTTAGGAAAAGTTGACAATTTCGAGGAATAAATTGTCATTTGCTGTGTTCCTGCTTAAATTTCCCGTCAAAATTGCGAACTTCACTTTGCGTACTTCTCCTGCTTAATTGACTTGCGGTGTTCGGAACTCTTTAGGCGACAATTTATTTCTTGGTTTGCGGATTCCAAACTCATGATCATTTCAAAAGTGAGGTAGGCCAATAAAGAAAAGACAAAACAAAAACCTCTCAGATTTTGTTAACTTGACTTTTGTCCTAAAGAGTTAAGTAGGTATACAAAAATATATTCTGGACTAACAAAGTAAAATTATTTTTTTTATTATATCCCTGGCGGACAGCTAACACACACATGGCAATACAACAACATTCATGTCATGGGTGAAATGCATGAAAGACACCACCATTTTGGCAGCATGGGCGTCGATTAACTCTTTCAACACCAGTCAACCAGAAGACTTTACTGCTGTGACACCGAGTTCCCAGAGACTCTTGTGTGATAGATGAAGCCAACATTTATCACGGATATCCGCGATATAACTGGAATATTGTTAAAAGCGGCGTTAAACCCAACTCACTCGCTCACTTATCACGGAAATTATCTGCTTGTAAAACATCTTTGCTGCTACATGTTTGGCTGTACACTATTTGAAAAGGTCTAACTAATCCTATTGTTTATAAATATGAAAGTTATGTGTATCACATTTTTCAAATAATTAATTTAAAACTTAATTAGGTTCGTTTTAAGTTAAAAAATGTAAGCTAACACATTCATAACGTCCAGATTAAGCACCAAGGAGCGAAAATGTAACGATTTGCGGCAAATATAAGATTTAATAAAATCCATTTACCTATTTCTTTTTTATTTTCATTGTTTACGTCATCGGAAAATTATTTTAAAAAGAATTACAAATAGTATCTGTCATCACCCATTTCCCGATAATAGTGGCTGTCCGCTCACTAGCATGAGAAAATACCTCCGTTTTCGAAGCTTCGTATGACTAACATGTGCGTCGAAGGCTGCCGTGACGGTATCAATTAAAAAGCTTATTCTTCCGCACCCTGAAGGGGAAGTATAAGGGTTAGCTTGTTTTTTGACTGAAGGAGAGCGCCTTTTTGGTTTCTCTAAGACAGTGCATAATATTCATCTTCTGAGGACACCGTCTCCGTGGTCTAGTGGTAGAGCGTCCGCCCGCGGAGCGGAAGGTCCGGGGTTCGATCCCCGACCGCGTCATACCAAAAGACGTAAAAAGATGGTATTTGTTGTTACCCTGTCTGGCGCTCGGCATTAAGGGACTAAAACAAGGACTGGTCAGTTCGGACTCTGAGTGGGGTATTTAAACTGCGGCATGGTATCTCAGTGAGCTAACACTATAAATCGGCATCAGTCCGGACTTGTACAAGCAGCCACACAAACACACACACGTACATGCACGTCGCTATATAAGTGCAATAATCTTGGACGCGACGTTAAACCTCATTTCACCTCACCTCACCTCACCTCACCTCATCTTCTGAGGCATGTTTCACAGAGACGTTGTTCCAATGGGGTTGGTGTTTTTGTATATCTACCCGTTTCAATATTTAGTTTGTGATTACTTAATAGAAGTTTTGAGAGATGTGTCTATGAGCTTTGTTTTTACAATATGTAAGACAATTCTCAATATTTACAGATGACTTGACCAACCTGTATGTTCATAACTTGCTGTTGAATAAATGGGAATCCCTTAAATGAATGCGTGAACATGTTTTTACATTTGGTAAAAGGCTATTTACAGTGGATTCATTACATGTATTTGTGTTTACTGTTTCAAAACTTTGTTTATTTAACTCAGCCAACATTTTGATTGATATTTGCTGCCAGAGCATGTTGAAGGATGACACTTCTTGTTATCTATATAGGACATGCAATCAATTAGTTTTTTATATTAATGGTACTAATAGTGGGTATATACCAAGTTCTGCCTTAGTGTTTCTTGTGCTGACCATTTAAAGATACTTCATTAATAACAACCAATTTGAAGTTTACACCAATCCTCTCCTCCCATTGCTTACACTTCCTTCCTCTGCATGTGACATTATATGGCCGGGGACAATTGATCCACTGCAGCAATCTCTACTTGTATTGTTTCACCGACATAATGATAATAGTAACATCCACTGGAGTCTTTTCATAGCTGAAACATGCGATTTAATTGGATATAAAATGGTTTCTAGTGAAATCTGCTACAAGGTACCTGATTGGTCAACTTTAAGCACGTGACCTAAAGCAGCCAATCAAATTACAGCAATGTTATCGTCTCGTGTATGCTAGTTTTCAGATTTTGACGAAAGGTTTTGGTTAAATCGTGTTCTGAACGTTTTAAGCAGGAAATCGCGATCTATATTGAAAATATGGAACTTCATGGATGTATCGTGCAAGGTTACGAACTGTGACAAAGATTTCTTATGCATATATTTTGGCATTAAACATCTTGTCCGAGCCGAGAAATCAAGGCGACGAAAGCCGAGTCGCATTTGACTTACATTACACGCAATCGCACGAAAGAAAATTACTTTGTAAGTTATGTGTATATTTTATTTTATTTTATTTATAACTTTGTAAAAGATATTTAAACATTTGCTTGAAACGTCTTTATTTTGCTCGACATGTTCGATGAGGACCCGTTGTCGAAGTGTCAGAATTTTTATTTTCAATAACATTGCGGGAAATGGTGAATAATTTTTTAATCTATTGATAACAAATTGATAATTGAAATGGAATACCCATTTCAGACATTGCGAAATGTGATAGATTTAATAACTGAATATGACAGCTAGGTTAATAAAATTATATACTATTCTGACGTGACTTGGCCGATGTACCGGCCTGCGGTGTTAGGAGTTAACCTGGTCGCCACTGCGCTTTGCGTTGACACGCTTCGATGGTATTAGAGAAAGATCCCAGCGAGAAATATCAGAGTGACTTCCCTTTGCTTTACACTCGCGGAGAGAATGAAATCTTTTTTGGTTTGAACTTTTTATGCATTTTTTAAAATAAAGATCGGCGGTAATAAAAAGTAGTTTTAATTTTTATTTTGGACTTTGAAAGAGCGGCGCATCTGTAAACCAAGTAATTAAACAAATGTCGCCTTATTCCATTCAAACAAAAGGATACAGCAGTCAAACATGCTGTCAAGCTATTGCCAGATCCGTGAAGGCACAGTAGAATTTCCACAGCAATGCTACCAATAGTAACATATAGCCTTTAGTAATATATACTACTCAAAACAAGTTAAAGAGCACCCACAATTAGAAAGCTGAGTGTTGCAATTCCACCAGCCATGACAGATTAACTATTGTCATATGAAGAAAACGGGTGTTCCTTAACATATTTTGAGTAGTATATTATGTATGTTAAGTAGTCTGCAAAAACGGTGACTCTATTTTTACATGACACAAGTACTGTTTTAGCAATATAAGTGTAAAAACCTGGCTACTTCCATTAGGCAATAACATTTTGTCTCATATTTATTTCAAAACAAATCTGCCAGTTGAGATTTACATGTTAAAAACCCTGTTTTTTATAACTTGATTGTCACAGCAGATCCCAATTGTCATTGTTCCTTATATCTTTGGTAAGTAAGTGGTTTTGCCCCGCTTTTAGCAATATTCCAGCAATTGGTTTCAAACATTGTACCCATGTTGGGAATCGAACCCGGGTCTTCGGCGTGACGAGCAAACGCTTTAACCACAAGGCTACCCAACCGCCCCTACACTTCTGGTCGACAGCAAACCGTGTATCCATTCTTACTTTGGATTCAATCACTTGGTATGTAAAATGTACTTTGTCAGACATGCTTTACCAGCTTCGACTAGCATATTTATATAAAACATACCATTTTAGCAGCGTATTACACAAATCGAATATATAGTCCTACAGTCTCGTAAACATTAATGAACTTCAAAAGACGAAATGTCTACTGTGTATTAAACGTATTAACGAAACAATCTCAAATTACATTTGCCCAAAACCGAGTCAGAAAGTTAAATGTACCACTTCCCGATATGCATTATGAAACGGGAATGATACTGTTAACATAAATGGTACTTTATTATTATTGATGACAGAACACCTAGTCAGTGGATGTCTTAGACACCACAGGTGAAGCTCAGCAACGTTTTGAGGTGGAGTGTAGCTGGGTGGGTGACCGTGTTTGGCAGCTCAGCTGAGTTTCTGGTGCTTCGGTCCTGCCCAACACTGAAGCACATGCGTTGTTTCTTGCGCCTCCGGGGGCGGTCGGGTAGCCTAGTGGTTAAAGCTATCGCTCGTCACGCCGAAGACTCGGGTTCGACTCCCGACATGGGTACAATGTGTGAAGCCCATTTCTGGTGTCCCCCGCCGTGATATTGCTGGAATATTGCTTAAAGCGGCGTAAATCTATACTCACTCACTCTTGCGCCTCCGACAGCTTGGGCTGTATACTCACACGATGCTGAATGAAATCGAGCGGTCACTGATCCATTGATGGTATAACCAATGTAGTACTTTGAGCAGGCGACTGTGGTGAGTAACTGTATGGCAGTATCATCAGTGGCCATGTGGCCGGCCCATGCAGACAGGCTTCTGTTGCCAGGGTTCGCACGGGCTGGGAGTGTGGGCTGTTTGGAACCTGTGTCGAGGATTCTTAGTTCCAAACCAAACGTCTTGGCGAGGGGGGGGGGGGGGGGGGGGGGGGGGGGGTACTAGAGGGACGGTCTGACCAGGTTGTTCTCCTGACGTCAAGGGTCATGTGATGCTGCGAGGTACCGGATTCCTACGTCCGCTTTACACCCATCACGCGTTCACTGTTGATGTAATTATGATGTCGTTACAATTGTCTTTGTCCACATCAGTCACTTTTGCTCAGAGCAAAGCAAGAGCGTTCTCGCCTACCTTGAAAAGTATTGAACAAAGTCATTGATTCCGAACTCTCGTCGTCGTCGTCGTCGTCGTCGTCGCTGTTCGTCTAATTTATGAACGTGTCGAGTTCCTGATATATTCGACTACTTTCTAAAGCTGTACGTTTGTATGATAATAACCTTTTCATCATCCCGGCATATGATGCGGGGGGATAGTCATGGTATGTTATGGTATGGTCCGTCTGTCCGTCCGTCCGTCCGTATTACATTTCCGGAGCATAACTTGAAAACCATGAACAAAATGTAATCCACATTTGGTACATATATTAACCCTTTTTACACCCAACACGTGGCTGTCAGCTTGCCCTCTTTACACCCTCCATGTGGCTGTCGCCGCGCCCTCTTTACACCCTCCATGTGGCTGTCACCGCGCCCTCTTTACACCCTCCATGTGGCTGTCACCGTGCCCTCTTTACACCCGACACGCGGCTGTCACCGCGCCCTCTTTACACCCTACACGTGGATGTCGCCGTGCCCTCTTTACACCCTACACGTGGATGTCGCCGTGCCCTCTTTACACCCGACACGCGGCTGTCACCGTGCCCTCTTTACACCCGACACGCATGCACAGTTGATATTTAGGAAGTTGAGTTGAAATTGTCCTTGTCCAGATCCCCACTTTTGCTAAGTGAAAATCTAGAGTGTGCTCTATAAGACTATGTGATGAAAAGACTATTTTCTTAAGCTGTACGTTTGGATGACCCGGCATACAATGCGGGGGAATATATAGTTATCATATAATCTGTCCTTCCGTCCATATTTTGTTTCCGGAGCATAACTTGAAAACCATGTAACATTTTTCATCCAAACACAGATCACCACAGCTCCTCATGGCGGGAACGTTTCCAGCAGCAACGGACATATCACCGGGGTAAGGGAAGAAGAGCATGCTTTGTGATGACATTGGCATAGAAACATGCGACTGATGCGATAGGGTGGTCAGGCTCACTGACTTGGTTGATGCATGTCATCGTATCCCAAATGCGTGGATTAATGCTCGTGATATTAATTACTGGATTGCCTGGTCCAGACACGATTATATAGCTGTAATATTGCTGAGTGCGGCAACCAAAATAAACAAAGTATATCTTGTGATGAAAAAGGGAGGCTGCTCCAGGGTGAAATACTTGAGGGTGGAATACCTCAGGGTGGAATACCTCAGGGTGGAATACTTCAGGGTGGAATACTTCAGGGTGGAATACTTCAGGGTGGAATACTTCAGGGTGGAATACCTCAGGGTGGAATACCTCAGGGTGGAATACTTCAGGGTGGAATACTTCAGGGTGGAATACCTCAGGGTGGAATACCTCAGGGTGGAATACCTCAGGGTGGAATACCTCAGGGTGGAATACCTCAGGGTGGAATACCTCAGGGTGGAAGATATAGGCTGATGAAATATAAGAGGTAGTTTGGGAGCAGTTCCTTCCTTTACATGGAGACAATGTGCGTAGGTCACATGCATGAGGTCGCATTTGGATGTAGTGGGGATTGGTTGCTGTCACATTATAGGGTGTAGTGGGGATTGCTTGCTGGCACACTATTGGGTGTAGTGTGGATTGAATGCTGGCACACTATTGGGTGTAGTGGGGATTGGTTGCTGGCACACTATTGGGTGTAGTGTGGATTGAATGCCGACACACTATTGGGTGTAGTGGGGATTGGTTGCTGGCACACTATTGGGTGTAGTGTGGATTGAATGCTGGCACACTATTGGGTGTAGTGGGATTGGTTGCTGACACACTATTGGGTGTAGTGGGATTGGTTGCTGGCACACTATTGGGTGTAGTGGGATTGAATGCTGGCACACTATTGGGTGTAGCGTGGATTGGTTGCTGACACACTATTGGGTGTAGTGTGGATTGGTTGCTGGCACACTATTGGGTATAGCGTGGATTGGTTGCTTACACACTATTGGGTGTAGAATGTAGAATATCAACACTCTAGATAAATACCCTGGCACTTCTAATTACAAAAAACGTCGACATCGAAATGAGGCCACCATATTTTATTGATGGCTTCACTGCTAATTTCTCACTGATGGGACGGTTATGTTTTCATTCGCATCTTTCAAAACGAAAGAATGGTAGCGATGGGATCCGTGTATCAATAAGACTGGAAATATTACACACTGTATAATCTAAAATGTCCAAATAATTGAGGATGGCTAGAACTGTTTCCATTAAAAATATTCTTTCTTTGCAGACCAGCTCTGACAATGGTGCCGACCACTACAGGAATATCTTCGGGGTAAGGAGATAAGGTCGGGCGTGCTTGGTCAGTGCAATGTGAAAAGGGAGTAAGTCCAGGTTTGGTAGCGACGTAATGGTGACCGAGCGAGTATATTCCAATACTCCACTCAGTATGGACGAGGCAAATATGTTCCTGGTACCATAAATTTATTCGTTTTGTGTAATGGGGTGTGCTGGCACCAGGTGATTGGGGAATCAATTCTGTTACAGGTGTTATAAAAAATGTTTATGAAAATGATTGATCGGGTTTGCCTTTCGTATTTTCGTATTAAATTATTTTGGGATAACATTTTCTGAAGCAGTGACTAAATATAAATCTACAATGACATCAATAAATATGACTAACAAATATCTGTTACAAGAGGAATGTTTTGTTACGTGTACAATTCTGTCTACAATACATCGGCAATACCTTAACCGTATGAAATCATTATTGCAAATAGGTTCAAGTTTTGTGGTATATATTTAACAGTAGGGATCTTTTGACGTCATTTGCTGATCGCTTCCACTGTCCCCTAAATACAGCGAGTGTGGAATTTGGGGAGGGGACGAAAGTGGAATTATGTCTTATGTCTAAAGGAGATATTGATCTAACTTCGATTTTCTTGTCTGTGGCGTACCATACCGCCTGGATCAGTTGTTTAATATTATAAATGTTCGTTCTTGCAGGACATTCTGACAGACAAACGGCAAACGAAGCACAACCAAATCATATCTTGCAACAAAATAGGAGCTGTTGTGCACAGTGAAAAGTCCGTGTACCGAGCCTGTGCCATTACATATAGTCAAATGATCTGCGCCAATTCGACTGTGCCAATGATATTGCCCGAAAAATCTACGTTCTATATTCTGAGAATCTACTTACCTTCAAATCTTAAGAATATTAAGAAGGATATTAATGCGTGCATCATGGATGGCCCCTACAAGGTAAATGGAACTAGCTCCTTGAAGTACAATGTCACAGTTTCCATGCTGTGGAATGATGGACGCGCTACAGGGGCAGAAGTACATTGTTTGGTAAGTGGCACTACCACAGCGACAACCACGCCAACAACTACGACCACCACGCCAACAACCACGACCACCACGCCAACAACCACGACCACCACGCCAACAACCACGACCACCACGCCAACAACCACGACCACCACGACCACCACGCCGACCACCACGACCACCACGCCAACCACCACGACCACCACGCCAACCACCACGACCACCACGCCAACAACCACGACCACCACGCCAACAACCACGACCACCACGCCAACAACCACGACCACCACGCCAACAACCACCACCACCACGCCAACAACCACCACCACGCCAACAACAACCACCACCACGCCAACAACCACCACCACCACGCCAACAACCACCACCACCACGCCAACAACCACCACCACCACGCCAACAACCACCACCACCACGCCAACAACCACCACCACCACGCCAACAACCACCACCACCACGCCAACAACCACCACCACCACCACGCCAACAACCACCACCACCACGCCAACAACCACCACCACCACGCCAACAACCACCACCACCACGCCAACAACCACCACCACCACGCCAACAACCACCACCACCACGCCAACAACCACCACCACCACGCCAACAACCACCACCACCACGCCAACAACCACCACCACCACGCCAACAACCACGACCACCACGCCAACAACCACGACCACCACGCCAACAACCACGACCACCACGCCAACCACCACGACCACCACGCCAACAACCACGACCACCACGCCAACAACCACGACCACAACGCCAACAACCACGACCACCACGCCAACAACCACGACCACCACGCCAACCACCACCACCACCACGCCAACCACCACGACCACCACGCCAACCACCACGACCACCACGCCAACCACCACCACCACCACGCCAACAACCACCACCACCACGTCAACAACCACCACCACCACGCCAACAACCACCACCACCACGCCAACAACCACCACCACCACGCCAACAACCACCACCACCACCACGCCAACAACCACCACCACCACCACGCCAACAACCACCACCACCACGCCAACAACCACCACCACGCCAACAACCACCACCACCACCACGCCAACAACCACCACCACGCCAACAACCACCACCACCACGCCAACAACCACGACCACCACGCCAACAACCACCACGACCACGCCAACAACCACGACCACCACGCCAACAACCACGACCACCACGCCAACAACCACGACCACCACGCCAACAACCACGACCACCACGCCAACAACCACGACCACCACGCCAACAACCACGACCACCACGCCAACCACCACGACCACCACGCCAACCACCACGACCACCACGCCAACCACCACGACCACCACGCCAACCACCACGACCACCACGCCAACCACCACGACCACCACGACCACCACGCCAACCACCACGCCAACCACCACCACCACCACGCCAACCACCACCACGCCAACCACCACCACCACCACCACGCCAACAACCACGACCACCACGCCAACAACCACGACCACCACGCCAACAACCACGACCACCACGCCAACAACAACGACCACCACGCCAACCACCACGACCACAACGCCAACCACCACGACCACCACGCCAACCACCACGACCACCACGCCAACCACCACGACCACCACGCCAACCACCACGACCACCACGCCAACCACCACCACCACCACGCCAACCACCACCACCACCACGCCAACCACCACCACCACCACGCCAACCACCACCACCACCACGCCAACAACCACCACCACCACGCCAACAACCACCACCACCACGCCAACAACCACCACCACCACGCCAACAACCACCACCACGCCAACAACCACCACCACCACGCCAACAACCACCACCACGCCAACAACCACCACCACCACGCCAACAACCACCACCACCACCACGCCAACAACCACCACCACCACGCCAACAACCACCACCACCACGCCAACAACCACCACCACCACGCCAACAACCACCACCACCACGCCAACAACCACCACCACCACGCCAACAACCACCACCACCACGCCAACAACCACGACCACCACGCCAACAACCACCACCACCACGCCAACAACCACGACCACCACGCCAACAACCACGACCACCACGCCAACCACCACGACCACCACGCCAACCACCACGACCACCACGCCAACAACCACGACCACCACGCCAACCACGACGACCACCACGCCAACCACGACGACCACCACGCCAACCACCACGACCACCACGCCAACCACCACGACCACCACGCCAACAACCACGACCACCACGCCAACAACCACGACCACCACGCCAACAACCACGACCACCACGCCAACAACCACGACCACCACGCCAACAACCACGACCACCACGCCAACAACCACGACCACCACGCCAACAACCACGACCACCACGCCAACCACCACGACCACCACGCCAACCACCACTACCACCACGCCAACCACCACCACGCCAACAACCACCACCACCACGCCAACAACCACCACCACCACGCCAACAACCACCACCACCACGCCAACAACCACCACCACCACGCCAACAACCACGACCACCACGCCAACAACCACGACCACCACGCCAACAACCACCACCACCACGCCAACAACCACCACCACCACGCCAACAACCACCACCACCACCACGCCAACAACCACCACCACCACCACGCCAACAACCACCACCACCACCACGCCAACAACCACCACCACCACGCCAACAACCACGACCACCACGCCAACAACCACGACCACCACGCCAACAACCACCACCACCACGCCAACCACCACCACCACCACGCCAACCACCACCACCACCACGCCAACCACCACTACGCCAACCACCACCACCACCACGCCAACCACCACCACCACCACGCCAACAACCACCACCACCACGCCAACCACCACCACCACCACCACGCCAACCACCACCACGCCAACCACCACCACCACCACGCCAACAACCACCACCACCACGCCAACAACCACCACCACCACGCCAACAACCACCACCACCACGCCAACAACCACCACGCCAACAACCACCACCACCACGCCAACAACCACCACCACCACCACGCCAACAACCACCACCACCACGCCAACAACCACCACCACCACGCCAACCACCACCACCACCACGCCAACCACCACTACGCCAACCACCACCACCACCACGCCAACCACCACCACCACCACGCCAACAACCACCACCACCACGCCAACAACCACCACCACCACGCCAACCACCACCACCACCACCACGCCAACCACCAGCACCACCACGCCAACCACCACCACGCCAACCACCACCACCACCACGCCAACAACCACCACCACCACGCCAACAACCACCACCACCACGCCAACAACCACCACCACCACGCCAACAACCACCACCACCACGCCAACAACCACCACGCCAACAACCACCACCACCACGCCAACAACCACCACCACCACCACGCCAACAACCACCACCACCACGCCAACAACCACCACTACAAAAACGCCATCCAACGCCACAACTTCGTATTGTGATGCCGACAAGAACCCTGATTACATTGTTCACATTGAAACAAAGTGTGGTTCCACTTCTGAAGCTACACCATCGATCGTCATCAGAACGGACCTTCATTTGTCGGCCATTGCGGTGTGCTACAAGGACCAAGTGTACAACTTCTCCACTTCAGACACTGTACACTTCCGCCTAAACGCCTCGTACAATCAAACTGACTACAAAGACAGATGCGTGTTTTCAAAACGCACAGACACGGAAGTTTACAACCTCAGAATTGAGGTGTCTTGGGGAGAGAGATTCAGCCACGTGCACACTTGTAAGAAGGAGTATCAAATCACCTGCACCTTTGAAGGCCGTCTCGGCAAGGGGAGTGCGTCCTCCAAGAGTGGCCCGTCACTGATAGCGGCTCAAGAAATTCAGTCTCACCAAGGTCAGAAAGGTTCTTCCAACATTAGTCTGGATGTCGTAAACGTCCTTGGAAAGCCGATTCCCGGCCCGATCCCTTTGGCCAGGAGGGTACAACTGTTGGCTACAGCAAGTGGTACGTCGTCTGAGCTTGGCTTGCGGCCGGTGGCGTGTGACGCCGTCTCGGCCAACGGTCACAGATACGCTGTTTTGCGAGCTGGTTGTGGTGATGGGATCATTTTTTCGAAAAACCAAGGATTTATGACCAGGGGATTACAAACATACAGTCCTTTCTTCAAAACATTTAAAATTCGCAAGGACAACAGTCTGAAATTTGAGTGTAACTTCACACTCTGTGCCAGCAGCTGTGACGGGGATTCTTGCAGCGGTAGGATTAAGAGATCAGCGGAGAGCTTCCTACCGGAAGAACCTTCCCCCATCATTGATGTGCAGTCCAGTAACACTCGGGAGTGGCTAGTCTTGCAGCTTGTCTTGCAGCTAGCCTGTATTGCATTCTTTGTTATGGTGATGTCGCAAATAGTCATACTTGTTTTGCTATTTTCCAATAGGCGACAAAAAAGAGTTACCATTTCGAGGCAATAAATACTCTCTCGATTCAAATGTTTCTCGTAATTATTTCAAGTACGTGTTTGTTTGTTTAACGCCGCACTCAGTAATATTTCAGCTGTATAACGGCGATCTGTAAATAATAGTCTGGACCAGACAATCCAGTGATTGACATCATGAGCATCGATCCACGCAATTGGGATACGATGACATGCATCAACCAAGTCAGCGATCCCGTTAGTCGCCTCTTACGACCAGCATAGTCTCCTTTTACGAAAAGCATGGGTTGCTGAAGACCTATTCTACCCCGGATCTTCACGGGTTTTCAAGTATGTGAGCCGCAGTCAGAATATTACAGCTGTTCTAAGCTGCTATGCCACATGTCATATGGTGCAGACAAGTGGTTGTAATCAACAAAGGGGCCACACAATCCTCCCTGACCGGTTTTAACAGGCATGGAGATACTTGACATAAGACCGTATCCTGCAGAACGTTTGTGGAAGCTAATTGGATGTTCTTACTGAATGCACTGATCATGCATATTGGGATTCCGGGTTGGAACTGGTCCCTGCCAACGTATCACTTGCGCTCCTTGATTAAAAACATGAACAGATTTGCAAAATATCTGTCGACGCCAAGTTGACGGTACACATGCTTTAAAAATGTTGCAGTCGACGGACATCTGCACGCTGAAATCCATTTTTACGAACAGGATGTATTGTTCGTTACGCGATTTTGATTGAATTGCATAGACTCGTTAATCCAGCAGAAACTAATTCCAGAATTCCAGCGTAGTTCGGCAAGGGTGGAAACTGGACTTTTATAGTCGGTTTACTCCCTTGTCTCGGGAAGATGGTATTCCGAAACTTGATGCAATCGGTCAGGGACGTTCAGGTACGATACAGATAAGCACGACAAGCTTTATCGACTCAAGAGAACGTTAGGCATCTTCCTCGTTATTAAAAGGCATGTATGATCTGGAGACAAGGACTTCTTTTACTATGACATAATCTAGGGATAAAAGTCAACATGTTCAGATTTATTTCTAAAAAGCCTAGTCAATTCGCATTGGGCAGGACCTTTCGGGTATGCATTTGATTTGAAAAAGGTAGTTCATAGTGTTATTAGCCCGGTGCATTTCAATATTATTTTTCACTGATTTACCTTTAATATACATACATCATAACTGTGTTCTAAGTGGGATTTTAAGATTTCAGTCCAGATATATTTCGATGATGACCCCTACGCAAAATGCCTAAAAAAAATAGAACTGCCTCTTAGTGACCACAAAAGTGAAACTGTACACTTGTTTGAATTGTTTGGTGTATATTTTGGATCAGACTAACATGGGGTTCTCAAATGTGTCTTCTTGTGAATAAATGTGAGAAGGTTGTAAATAATTTCAAGTGCATTGCCAAAACAAAGTGAGGTGCTGATAAATCATCGATTAGGCGGCGCTCTGTGGCGCAGTGGGAAGGGTCTCCTCGATCTCCATGACAGACTGGTGGAGTCTTCTTTACCCTTGGAGGCCTAGCCTTCTGAACCGGGCGTGGTGCGGAAAGGGTAGGGGCCGGGGTGGGTTTTTCCTGAGACTTGGTCTTGGCCTTAGCTTTGTCTAGAGGTCTCTTCCTTTGGCCGAGGTCAAAGGAGATTGAGAGGGTAGAGGTTTTAGACTTATAGGAAGTCTTGAGGGAGTAGTCCCCAACCCGGTAAGGCAGCAGGGGCTCCATGCCAGGATGGCAACAAGCTCCCTCGGCAGAGACTTGGCGAGGTCTCTCATGTTTGTAGGGTAAGCAAGCTTGGATGGACACGTGTGCACTGGGCGAGTGTCCAAGCCTCAGAACGCAACGATTTTTTTTATAGGATCGGACCCCATAGAGCGATAATTGAGTGCTTATGGATCTGGGGCGGTCGGGTAGCCTAGTGGTTAAAGCGTTCGCTCGTCACGCCGAAGACCCGGGTTCGATTCCCGACATGGGTACAATGTGTGAAGCCCATTTCAGGTGTCCCCCGCCGTGATATTGCTTGAATAATGCTAAAAAGCGGCGTAAAACTATGCTCACTCACTCATCACGCTTATGGATCTCAATAGTTCGCCTAGATCGCGATCGGAGTGGAGCGGGAACTGATCGTGCAAGATCGACACATTTGGGGTTGTTTGGTTATGATCAAGGGTCTTCAAGTCGCTATCGGATCGCATGGATCGCAAGAGGAGCGCTATCTGATCGTAATCAGATCGTAAGTGCCCCGAGATCGCCGAAAAATGAGGAGACCTATGGCGCTCCCTAAGAGCGCGAAGAGCGCAGTAGAGCGTCGCCTAGTGGAATGGGGGTATCATTGCTATATAGAGCATTGCTACATCAAGGCTTGACTATTGCTGTCAGGTATTTGTCTGCCTCAAAACGTCATCTTTCTAAACCTGACTTCAGTCAGAAATACCATTTGAGGGGGCACGGGTGGCCCAGTCGTCTCAGGCGCCGCGATTCGCCGTGCAGAGTTGCGTCCCTTGGGCACGCCAGAAACCTATGATTGTGGGTTCGAATCCCGGTTCACCCCGATTGTTTCTAGGTTTGTCGGCACAATACCCGTGCTCGTGGGTTTCACCGAAGTGGTAAACGTCTGAGACCTGCATCATTTCGGGCTTTCCTCCCACATTAAGCTGACACGCATCGATTTAACTGGAATATTGTTAAAAGCGGCGTTAAACCCAACTCACTAACGCACTCACTCACTAATACCATTTGCCAGTCTTGTGGAAAGTGTTTTTTCAGTATGAATGTCTATGCACAGACCTAAATAAGAAACAGACGAAGCGTCTCACTGGTCCCCTCTATTTGCTCTTCAGGTTTGTTCCAATCCCGTCAGTCATCTCATTGGTCGGTCAAGTTTGCGAAAGTCGTTCTGACGTTACCTGTAATGGGTTGTTTACCGGTAGGAAGGACTAATATCTGATCTTAATGAGGTTCCTGTGTAATGTGACTGGATCGTAAAATCATTCAAATAAAACAAACAGTCCGACGAAACTCTTGAACTCACGTGATCAAACACAAGGTACCCGTGCTGGCCGTGAATCTTGGTTTACTAGTTCAAAGCTGGTTTCTCAAAGCTGATTTCCCACCAATATGGCGACACACTAAGATGTAACTGAGACCGAAGCGGATTTAAATCCAACTTAAATTGATTCTCTCTTGTACACGGCCGCTTTCGTGGTCTAGTGGTCAGAGCGTACATCCGGGAAGGTCCGGGGTTCGATCCCCGTCCACGTCATACCAAATGACGTTAAAAGATGGTACTTGTTGTTACCCTGCCTTGCACTCGGCATTAAGGGGCTAAAACAAGGACGGTTCGGGTGTGATACTGTGGCTGAGGTGGGTATTCATGTTAAACTGCGGCATGGTATCTCAATGGGCTAGCACTATAAAATCGGCATTAGTCCAGTCTAGTACAAGCAACAACACGCACATGTTGCTATATCAGCGCAATAGTCTTGGACACGACGCTAATTCCTATTTCACGTCACCTCACTCTTGTACAGATGTTAAAGTACCACAGGAGTCGACATACACTCCTGTCTGTAATTCCATCAATAGGACAAGACATGGAAGCTGCTTGTGACAGACGGTTCACCCCAGTGAGTGTGTTGATTCTCTCGTTTCCGATACACTAATTATTTTTATTAACGAAACAATGTGTTGGGTGACGCAGCATGGGGAATCCAATGTGTTGAGTGACGCAGTATGGGGGATCCAATGTGTTGAGTGGCGCAGCATAGGAGGAGTCCAATGTGTTGGGTGACGCAGCATGGGAGGAGTCCAATGTGTTGAGTGACGCAGCATGGGAGGAGTCCAATGTGTTGGGTGACGCAGCATGGGAGGAGTCCAATGTGTTGAGTGACGCAGCATGGGAGGAGTCCAATGTGTTGAGTGACGCAGCATGGGAGGAGTCCAATGTGTTGAGTGACGCAGCATGGGAGGAGTCCAATGTGTTGAGTGACAGCATGGGAGGAGTCCAATGTGTTGAGTGACGCAGCATGGGAGGAGTCCAATGTGTTGAGTGACGCAGCATGGGAGGAGTCCAATGTGTTAAGTGACACAGCATGGGAGGAGTCCAATGTGTTGAGTGACGCAGCACGGGGGGAGTCCAATGTGTTGAGTGACGCAGCATGGGAGGAGTCCAGTGTGTTGAGTGACGCAGCATAGGAGGAGTCCAATGTGTTGAGTTACGCAGTATGGGGGATCCAATGTGTTGAGTGACGCAGCATGGGGGATCCAATGTGATGAGTGACGCAGCATGGGAGGAGTCCAATGTGACGCAGCATGGGAGGAGTCCAATGTGTTGAGTGACGCAGCATGGGAGGAGTCCAATGTGTTGAGTGACGCAGCACGGGAGGAGTCCAATGTGTTGAGTGACGCAGCATGGGGGATCCAATGTGATGAGTGACGCAGCATAGGAGGAGTCCAATGTGTTGAGTGACGCAGCATGGGGGATCCAATGTGTTGAGTGACGCAGCACGGGAGGAGTCCAATGAGTTGAATGACGCAGCATGGGAGGAGTACAATGTGTTGAATGACGCAACATGGGAGGAGTCCAATGTGTTGAATGACGCAGCATGGGAGGAGTACAATGTGTTGAATGACGCAACATGGGAGGAGTCCAATGTGTTGAGTGACGCAACATGGGAGGAGTCCAATGTGTTGAATGACGCAACATGGGAGGAGTCCAATGTGTTGAGTGACGCAGCATGGGAGGAGTCCAATGTGTTGAGTGACGCAGCATGGGAGGAGTCCAATGTGTTGGGTGACGCAGCATGGGAGGAGTCCAATGTGATGAGTGACGCAGCATGGGGAATCCAATGTGATGAGTGACGCAGCATGGGAGGAGTCCAATGTGTTGAGTGACGCAGCATGGGAGGAGTCCAATGTGTTGAGTGACGCAGCATGGGAGGAGTCCAATGTGTTGAGTGACGCAGCACCTGAGGAGTCCAATGTGTTGAGTGACGCAGTATGGGGGATCCAATGTGTTGAGTGACGCAGCATGGGGGATCCAATGTGATGAGTGACGCAGCATGGGAGGAGTCCAATGTGACGCAGCATGGGAGGAGTCCAATGTGTTGAGTGTCGCAGCACGGGGGAGTCCAATGTGTTGGGTGACGCAGCATGGGAGGAGTCCAATGTGTTGAGTGACGCAGCATGGGAGGAGTCCAATGTGTTGAGTGACGCAGCACGGGAGGAGTCCAATGTGTTGAGTGACGCAGCATGGGGGATCCAATGTGATGAGTGACGCAGCATGGGAGGAGTCCAATGCATCGAGTGACGCAGCATGGTAGGCTCCGGTCTGAGTTTTGTGTTATGGTGCCTTGAACAGTAGTCCATTTATATCCCAGTGTGTCAGCTAAAGTGGGAGGAAAGCCCGAAGTGATGGAGGTCTTAGACTTTTACCACTTTGGTGGAACTATCGGGTATAGTTCTGACAAACCTAGCAACATAGGGCTTTGAACCCACGATTATAGGTGTCTGGCATAGCTAAGGGACGTAACTCTCGAAATTGCGGCGAATAAGCCGACTTTGCCACCCGTGCTCCCTGATCCACTGTTAGACAGAATGTGTGCAACACCAGATGTAAGCAGTGACAGTGCATGAATTAGGCATGCCAAAATACATGTTATCAAAACTTGAAGTTAAAGGTTTATGACATTATTTCTTGACTAAAAGGGCACTAATATCAATTTACCAGCGGATACTTCCATGTTTACAACAGGCCGTCCTCGTGGTGTAGTGTGTAGAAAGTCTGACCGTAGATAGGAAACCTTGACGCTAAAAGATGGTATTTGTTAAACTTCAGCTGCCCGGCGCTCGGCATTGTGGGGATAAAACAAAGACTGGACTCGGCTAGGAGTCAATACAGTGGTTTGAGTTTTGTAGCCATGTTAAACTCTCTAGCATTCTAAAACGGCATTGTTCCTGTCAATTAGAACAGGCACGTGCGTCGCCCTATACTCGCAATGATCTTTAACTGCAATAATCGTTAAACCCCATTTCACTTCAACTCGCATGTTGGCAACGGGATGAGTATTGGATAGACAGGATGGAATATTTTCCCCTGAATAGTGCATAGTCTTCGCCACGCGCAGTGTATCGAAATCCCATCTGTTGGAGAGCAATAGTTAGTACAGTCCGGGAAACATGAATTGTATCTTTAATTCCTCTCAAATTCTACTATTTGTCAGGATTACCTTCTGCTCATAAAGCTTGTACATTATATCACCCTGTACCAAAGCTGTATTATATCCTTTTACTTCTCAGCTTTGTTTTCGAGACCACCCCTATACCCACTTTGTTTTCTTATCATACCGTAGACTTGATGGTATGAATTGAAAACCCCATGGCTTGGGCAGTTCGGTAACTATGAAATGTAAACACCAAAGACTGGAGCTGCTGGAATATTGCTCGACATGAAGGGAAAGACTATTTGAAAGTTGAGGTCACCCCTCTTGTCATACATTCTTGTGGAGAGAGTTTTGTCACTCTGAATCTTTGTGCATAGATGTAAATATGTAACAGATGAGGCGACCTCACTGGTCTCCTTTATTTCTAAGTAAGGATAAGAATTTATGGATGAACAACTTCTTTATTACAATTATGAGCGACGTTTCGGTGTAGGTTCTAACACCGTTATGAAGTAAGGGATATGCAGAGTGCGATAACGGTGTTAGAACCTACACCGAAACGTCGCTCTTAATTGTAATAAAGAAGTTGTTTCCTTTGTCACTGACTTCCCCGATGATTGTCATCACTATCCCTGTGTATTCATAACAGGCTTCTCTACTCCAGTGTAACAATATCTACTCAAATGTATAAATAATTGCCTCCTACTTGTAAATATACTTGCCAACCACACTCTGTATGCCACTTGCTTGATAACGGTGTTAGAACCTACACCGAAACTTTAATTGTAATAAAGAAGTTGTTCATCCTAAATTCGTATCCTTACTTAGTACCCAAACTTCTAAATGCCTATCAAAGAAGTCCTTTATTTCTAGCTCAGGTGGGTACATCAGTTGGAGGGACGTAGCTATTTGATTGTTATTGAACGATATCCGATTATCGATATACCTGGAGCTTAAGTTGAACTTGCCAAATCACCTTGTTTTGACTTTGCCAATCCAATTCATATGCATAACGGAACTGTTTCGCAGGAAGGGGAGCACAATTGGTGCCCATGGGGATGCCTACGTCTTGCCCAAATGTCTTTACCACTAAATTCACATAGATGTTATCAAATAGGAAGTCCAGCATTTCACATATTGTTTTCTCAGTAAACTTCAGATGACATATGCTTTCATTTTTAACAAATTGCCCTCAATATTGTTAAATGGCAGTGTATTTTATTGTTGAACAATGATTGTACCTGTGTTACACTGTTTTTGGTTGAGATTGAGGACGCTCATTGCATTATGTTTGGACAGTGATCAGGAAGTTACTATATTTAGATGTTGTGTGGTGTGTAAACTTCCGGTCCGGCATACCGCAGACTACCGCGGACGGTGATAGTATGTTATAGAAACATATGGAAAGTTCCATAATGTTTTAGTGCTGCTAAACTAGTGAAGGCACGGTTTAGAAACTTCCAGTAGCTTGTTATGCTGTATATACGTATAGTGGGACCAGAGAGTGTTTATGTATCTCTCACACAGTTCGTGTCTCACGCATTTTCATCGTTTCGGAACCAGCTTTCAGATGAAGATCGTTCAACATCCCTGATTCCCTGTCCAGCCAAACTTGGAAGCTTGAGCACAGTCGCCACTGGGTGAATATATATATTATTATCACTGACTTTTGCTACCACCACTGTATTTTAGTATTTGATAAAGACCACTTCCATTATATTATTTATTGCCATTGACTATTGTACAACTACTCTATTGTGTCTTTGTAATTGCCGTGCAGTAATTTGTATTGATTTGTAAACCTTATGAATTTTGCAATACATTTGTTGATTCTATATGACTTGTTAGTTGTTTGTTGGTTTGGCAATCGGTTCTTTTACGTACAGATTTCTGGGTTAACATTTTGTTTCAATTTGGGAATCGACACATAACAGCCTCTGAAGACAGATACGTAGCTGTATCTGTGTTCACCACGTTTTGTAACAAAAGCCACAAGGATCAAGGAAGGACGTTTTTCTTTACGTTTGTTACGTGGGATAGTGGTGTACAAAGTTGGAAAATCAAATATATTAAATTTGTCCTTTTCTGAGATTGAAAAAAGTGAAGCAAATTCTTTGAGTTTTTGAGAATCCACATGGTATTAATTTTCTGTGAATTCTGTGAATATGGAGAAAATCCTTCCCAATGGACATCACCATGCAGTCTACAGAAGAAACCATAGGAATTTGAAGCAGCGTATCACATTCAGTGTGGACATGATTATGTTGGCGAAACATACCCTCAGAACCCGAATTAAAGAACATCACAGTTCAGTTTCCAACATGGACTCTAAGCTTTATCAGACCATATCCGTGACAACCCAAAACACAACTACCAGTGAGATAAAATCAAAGCCCTCTCAACTAACCTCAAAGTCTTCAGACTCCAAGATGCAATCCCCATCAAAATACTCCAACCATAAATCAACCGTGGCCAGGGCTATTTATACCTGAAATCACCCGCATTGTGTACATAACGGGATTCTCCACCCCACTGTAACCACACCCTTATCTACCCAGCTGTTACACAACTTCATCCCTGCATATAAAGTTTCATTATCACACTTTGTACATCATTTGTTTGATAGCAGTGTTTGCACTAACACTGAAACATCGCTCCTGACTATAGCAAAGAAGTTGTCCATCCATATATCCTATCCTTACTTAGTACACTTAAACTTACTCAAAACCGTCTAAATGCCTCTCAGAGAAGTATTTCGTTTAGTGGACATAAATACACATCTAATTGGTAACGCATGTTAGATATCAGTCATTATTTTCTTCAGACCTGTACCTGATGGTGGCTTTGACATAAATAAAATATTGGAAGCCAGTCTTTATGCCGTATTGTAACAGTTTACTCATGTTTGTGGTGAACTGAAAGCGCAGTCGCTATAGCGGCGGTCGCAACAGACATTGTAATTGGTTAGCTGACACGGTCGATTGACTAGCAGTGTGTACAGATCCATTTAAGGCATTCACTGAGATTCAGTGGGGAATCCGCTGGAGAGCGTTCACCTACAATGACGGGGATCCTGCTGCTGCTCGTGGTCTCGGTGCTGGCACACAGTGAGTACCGGTGTTTCTCACCACACCAAGACACGTGTGACATACTGTCTGTTTCCTACATTAAGACCGACGCTCATATTGTATTCGTGATATTCGACTTCTACTACTGTGTGCCGCGTAACGTGAATGTATGAGACACACTGCTCAACTGATGGTGTTGATCTCTGATGTGCGCCGGGAGGCGGCGGGGTAGCCTTGCGGTTAAAACGTTCGATCGTCACGCAGGAGACCCGGGTTCGATTCCCTACACGGGTATAATGTGTGAAGCCCATTTCTGGTGTCAGCCGCCGAGATATTGCTGGAATATTGCTAAAGGTGGTGCAAAACCATACTCACTCACTCAATGATGTACCGCCTCCGTGGTCTAGTGGTAGAGCGTCCGCCCGGAGAGCGGAAGGTCCGGGGTTCGATCCCCGGCCGCGTCATACCAAAAGACACTAAAAGATGGTACTTGTTGTAACCCTGTCTGGCGCGCGGCATTAAGGGGCTAAAACAAGGACTGGTAGGCTCGGAGTCAGTATATTGTGTCTGAGTGGGGTATTCATGTTAAACTGCGGCATGGTATCTCAGTGAGCTAGCACTATAAATCGACATCAGTCCGGACTAGTACAAGCAGCCACACAAACACACACACGTACATGTACGTCGCTATATAAGTGCAATAATCTTGGACGCGACGTTAAACCCCATTTCACCTCACATCACTCAGTGATGTGTGCCACTTAACTTGGATGTATGAGACACACTGCTAATGGTGTTGATTGATCTCGTGATTGTACGTGTCTGACAATGACTATAGTCTATCAACGATGGCATGTATTATTTGTCGGCTAATATGATTATTGATAAATTCTCATTATATGTTTATATGTATGCTTGTGACATGATGAAATAGATTTGAATGGTTGTCACAATAGGCAGCTGTGTTGTTTGACCATTGTTCTGATTAAATGGTTTGGTGGGGGAAGTGGTGAAGCGTTTGCCTGTCACGCTAAAGGGCCGGGTTCGATTCCTCACCTGAACACAGTGTGCGATATGTTGGTGCCTGCCACCGTCGTACGGAGAGAATGAAGTTTAAATCAGCGTTAATCCAACTCTCTCTCACTCACTCACTCACTCGCTCACTCGCTCACTCACCCACTCACCCACTCACCCACTCACCCACCCACCCACTCACTCACTGTAAACACCAAAGGCTGGAGCTGCTGGAATATTGCTCGACATGAAGGGAAAGTTAACTATTAGAAAGTCATCCATCTTGTCATGGAGTCTTGTGGACATGAGCTCATTCATCTTTTTCCTGAACATCTCAAGGGAAGACACCTACCACTGACCCGAATATATAAGACTTCCCGCCGTTAAAAGTAATATGAACAGCAGAGTTCAGAGTGCGAAGGTGCCTGCGATAACACAAGTTTAAGAGCAACGGTAGTCAGGGAACTGAAGTGCCTCAGAATCATCTTCGACAAAAATGACTTTTTCAAATATACAGCAGCCATATTTGCACGTTCTGTGAAAATGCAGGTCTTCAGGTTGTTTTAGAGTCTCAGAATAAGAGAATATTCCAAGAGAGCACAGGAAAACAGGAAAACAGGAGATGAGTTAAGACATGAGATCACTATTTTACAGTGGCTGCACACTGCGTTTTATACTTTTTGTCCCCTGTATTTCATCAATTACCGGTGCGGTCGGTTAGCCTAGTGGTTGAAGCGTTCGCTCGTCTCACCGAAGACGCGGGTTCAATTTCCGACATGGGTACAATGTGTGAAGCCTATTTCTGGTGTCCCCCGCCGTGATATTGATGCAATATTGCTAAAAGCGGCGTAAAACTATACTCACTTACTGACTGAAGACATACTGCTGAATGATACCGTATTCGACGTAATAAGCGCCCCGCTCTAATAAGCGCCCACGGCGATATTATCTCTGTGTGCTTCATGAACTATGCCCCGACTATCCTCACTAAGCTTACACAAATGTCAACACTTTATTCCTAATGTACCACCTAACATACGATGTCATGACATGGAAGGGGAAGGTCAACTCACTCACTCATCGATTACCCAATCTTATACGCACCTCGTCGACCCGTGCAGATCCGGGGTAGAATAGGTCTTCAGCAACCCATGCTTGCCGTAAAGAGCGACTATGCTTGTCGTAAGAGGCGACTAACGAAATCGGGTGGACAGGCTCGCTGACTTGGTTGATACATGTCATCGATCCAAATTGCGTGGATCGATGCTCATGATATCAATCACTGGATTGCCTGGTCCAGACTCGATTATTTACAGATCGCCGTCATATAGCTTGAATATTGCTGAGTGCGGCGTTAAACAACAAACCAACCAACCAACCAACACACCTCGTCAAAAGTATCGCACCACCAAATTTGAAGTGTAATTGCGAATTCATTTTCTATGTAGGAATTTTCAATTGGTACACTGTGTGTTGATACATCATCTGCCTGTAGAATGGTAGCCACCTCAACTGCCCAACCTGATGGGTGCGTTGATGCGAGCCGTATGCACATTTAAGGGGTCTCTGTTGAGAAAATTCATGTTTCATGACAGAATGTTCAAGCGTCTTTACTGCTATTTTTTTTAATGAAAGTTCTACCAATGTGAAAGTCTGTCTTTGGAAGGCTTGTAAGCTAAATACCTGTCCCAGAAAACAAAGATGGCAAATCATTGTCACGCACCAAACTGGCATGTCATATCAGGATATTGCCACCGTGTTGAACATTAATCTGTAATCAGTCGACTCATTAGAAAACCAACATTGACTGGACATGTGAGGGTCTTGCCGAGACCAGTACCAGAGAAGGCAGGGTCCTTGTACTCCAGGCAAAGCTACTGCCAACATCAACTTGCACTGTTCTTCGTCATCACTGGCATACCCACAACAGAGTGTCCCTCACCACCAGGCGTCGGGTGAAAGCTGCAGGGTTAAGGTCCAGAAGACCAATAAGACGTCCCCTCCTCTCACCCCAACACACGCTGGACCGGGTAGCCTGGTACCCGACTCGCGCACACTGGAACTTGAGGTCATGGAGGAGGATTCGCTTCTGGAAGTAAAGGGGTGCATCTTATCATCAGTGCCGGGAAAAGTGACTTGTGGGGCGGGTCAGTGATGGTATGGAGTGTGAAGGCGGGTCAGTGATGGTATGGAGAGTGGAGGCGGGTCGGTGATGGTATGGAGTGTGGAGGCGGGTCAGTGATGGTATGGAGAGTGGAGGCGGGTCGGTGATGGTATGGAGAGTGGAGGCGGGTCGGTGATGGTATGGAGAGTGGAGGCGGGTCGGTGATGGTATGGAGTGTGAAGGCGGGTCGGTGATGGTATGGAGAGTGGAGGCGGGTCGGTGATGGTATGGAGTGTGGAGGCGGGTCAGTGATGGTATGGAGAGTGGAGGCGGGTCAGTGATGGTATGGAGCGTGGAGGCGGGTCAGTGATCGTATGGAGCGTGGAGGCGGGTCAGTGATGGTATGGAGTGTGGAGGCGGGTCAGTGATGGTATGGAGCGTGGAGGCGGGTCAGTGATGGTATGGAGAGTGGAGGCGGGTCGGTGATGGTATGGAGTGTGGAGGAGGGTCAGTGATAGTATGGTGTGTGGAGGCGGGTCAGTGATGGTATGGAGAGTGGAGGCGGGTCAGTGATGGTATGGGGTGTGGAGGCGGGTCGGTGATGGTATGGAGTGTGGAGGCGGGTCAGTGATGGTATGGATTGTGGAGGCGGGTCAGTGATGGTATGGAGAGTGGAGGCGGGTCAGTGATGGTATGGAGAGTGGAGGCGGGTCAGTGATAGTATGGAGTGTGGAGGCGGGTCAGCGATGGTATGGAGCGTGGAGGCGGGTCAGCGATGGTATGGAGTGTGGAGGCGGGTCAGTGATGGTATGGAGCGTGGAGGCGGGTCAGTGATGGTGTGGAGGCGGGTCAGCGATGGTATGGAGTGTGGTGACTGGTCAGTGGTGGTTTCGGGATGGTGCTCATTGGATTGTAAACTTGATTTGGTCACAGTTCAGGGGACATTAAATGGACAAAGGTACCAATATACCATATTGGACGGTTATCATTTTGATAACTGTGCACTGTCTTCATGGACGACGATGAACGACCCCACCGAGTACGAGTTGACTATTTCCAGGACAACGCCACTGAGACTCTGCCTTGGCCTTCTCGAAGCCCAGACCTGATTCCAATCGAGCATCTATGGGATCCGTTAAGACGTAGGGTTAGAGCCAGGCACCACCCAAACATAACCTCATCTCTCCTCGTCATCGTATGTAATGTCTATATCAGTTCTCACACACCCATACCGATGTTGTAATTGTTGCCACTTAATAAGATACTCTAGAATGGTTATTCTCTTGCAAATTGACAATTTAGCTTTGATAACCACTCTATCAAACATATTCAAGAACCGTGTGCGTGACTGTGGAAACACTCTGTGAGTCATCTCTGCGTGGTGCGCGTCAAGTGTTTTCCCGGAGCCTTTCTCAAATGCACTTCGCGACAGCCAGACGTGTGTTATGACATGAACGTTCTCACGCAAGATATAACTATATAGGACCAGCTCGGGCACATTTATCAATAACTAAACTATTTCTTTTCAATGACGATGGGCCTCGTTTATGAGCAAACAAATACTTTTAAATATCCGTTGGTTTCTTTAAAGGATCACTTACCTAATCACACGTGCGTTCAGACACAAACTTCAATCCCCATACTTCAACGGTTAAACTATGAGTATTGAATGAAGTGACTAATCTAATAGTTAATTCAACAAAAAAATTCTTTGAAAACAACACAAAGGCTTGTTATAAAACTTGTCAAATGAATTGTTTGTTGATCGCTAACATTGTTGCACGATAGAGATGCGAACGACCACGACAAGCTTTGCAATCTCATAATCGATATTATTGATATGAACATGCGCATGTTATTGGAATTTTTAAAGCCTAGATCTTTGTCAACATTTCGTTCAAACAATTGATTGTAAGCACAA